GGTAGCTTTTAAAAAAAAAAAATAAGATTTTATTTAGCTTTTATTAAATAAGTATTATTAGTAATAGCAGGGTTAAGCTAACACTTTAAAAAAAAGATTATAAAAATATTAAGCATAAAAATACTTATTTTAAATATTTTTAACTAAAAAAAAAGGTTATAGCGCTTGCCTAGCTTACTATTAGCTATAAATTATATTTAAAATATTAATTATAGGAAGCCAAGGTCCGTATTTTATTTAAAAATAAACTTAGCTTAAAAAAAATATTATACCATGGGTTACACGCGTGAATAAACTAATTAATTTACTTTAGGGCCTTTTTAACCCTATTTAAAAATATATTACGCCCTAAATAGTATTTAAGGGCCTTAATAAAATTAAGCTAGTATATTTATATAAATATAATATTATTACTTTTTTATAAATTACCCAGGGGGCCTATATAATAATAAATAAATTTTTATATTTAAAATATATAATTAATATTATTAGGACTAGCACGGGCATAATATTTTATAAATAAACTAGTATAAGCAAGAAAGCTATTAATTAACTAAATATTATATATAAACTTACTGTACTCCGGGAAGTTTTTATTAAAAATTTATTAAATTAAAAAGTTAAGACTAGGCTCCAGGTAGGGATTAAAATTATTTTAAAGGTTTATATTACTAGTTATATAGTATTTTTAAAAATTATAATACTTATTAATATAATTAAAAAAAGCACCTAAACACCATGTAATCTTTTTTTTTATAAATAAAAAGTAATAACTTAGGTAAGTAACCTTTATATAGCCTAAAATTAATAGTATTTAAGTGCTATACTTAAAAAAACTAGTAATTATAGCTAAAATATTTTTTAAAGCCCGCGCTAGTATATTTAGCAGGAGCTTTTAATAAAAAATATATTTATTTAATAAATTAGCTAAATTTAAAACCTTTTTACAGGTAAAACACTTTTAGGTAATAACTATTTAAAGCTAGTTATATTTTTAGCATGGCCTATAACAGGCATAATAGCTATTAGTTATTTAATAATTATACTAGGCCTAATAAAAACACTTTATAATACTTAATTAATTAGCTAGGCGCAGTTAATCACGGGGAATAAAAAAAAGGTTATTATATAATATAAATACCGGCATAAACTAGGTTAGCTTAGGAATAATTATACCTAAAAAACCTAGCACTAGGGGGCTTAATACTAGGGTTAGTAATAATATAAAAAAAGATAAAAATAAAGTAAATACAGGAGGTATAAGCTAGTAAATTAAAAGGGTAATAACTACACCTAAAATAGTATCCAGGGCTAAAAAAGGTTAATAAAAATTATTAATAATAAATTAAATATACTAAGCAGGAGCATATAAAAGTAAAATTAGCTATATAAATAGGGTGCTTATAGCTCCTAGGGTTATAACTATTATAGTAATATACTTAGCCCTTTTTAAGGGTTAGTAAATTATAAGTCTTATAAAAAAATAAAAAAGCAGGAAAATAGCCTATAATACTAGTAATTAAAAATATAAAAAAAAATAAATAAAGATAAAACACTAGACAAAGCGTAGGAAGGTATAGTAAAATAGCTAAATTTATAAAGCAAAAAGTACTATAAATAAAAAATAAAGCTATACCTAAAAATAAAATAAATAATAAAATTATACTAAACAGGGTAAAAAACCGGGAAGTAGCTAATTATAATAAATAATATAAAAAAGTACTAAAGAAAATAAAACACGTAATATAAAAATTATTAATTTTATATTTATATAACCTACCTTTTTATACCCATACAACCCACTGTTATTACCTACTATAAAACCTACTAAAGTTAAAAATATAAACCGCACGGCCCGATATAAAAACCTGGATAAATTTACTATTAAATAAAATAATATAAACCTTATAAACCTAAATAATTTATTCTAGGATATATATTAGTACGCTAATTACCTTAACCTAAAGTTTTATTTATGCACTAATAACCTACTTTACTAATTAAAGCTTAAAAATATTAAAAGTAATTATAAGGTAAAAAATAAAAAGCTTTAAAAAAAAATCTAATTATTTTATATTAAAAATAAATAAAGGGGGTTAACCTATACACAGGCATATTAAAATAAATTAAAGGTATAATATTATAAGGTAAAGTATTAATAAAAAGCTAAGGTTAAGGCATGTTAAAAAATACTAGCTTAAAAATTATTAAGTAAATAAAGTAAAAATAAAGCACGCAAAATTATTACGCGGTTTAAAAAGTAAAAAATAAAAATTAAAGTATTTATAATAAGTATATATACTATTATAGCATGCCCTATATATATATATATTAATAAGTGGCTAAAAATATATATTATAAATAATATACTATTACTAAACCTTATAATAATATTAATAATAATAATATTAATAGTACCTACAAACCCTAAAGCCTTAAAAATATAAATTATAATAAACCTGGCCTGAATTAATATTAACCTACTAACTTAAATATATAAAAAATACTTATATATTTAAACTTATAAAAAATATATAATAGGGTAAGATAATGGTATATAAAGGGCGGTATAATAATATATATAAAAAAAAATTAATAAGCTAAAGGCATGTACACGAAGGGAGTTACTTATACTATAAATAAAAATAAAAAAAAAGTTTAATAAAATTAAAAAAAGCGCTTAAAAAAAGCTTAATAAAAGGCTTAAAAAAATAATAAAAATAATAAAAAAGTTAATAAGGTACTTAAACAGGGGCTGGTACGCCAGGGCCTAGGAATTAAAGCTTTTTTAAATTAAAATTTTTTTAATAACAGGCAAATCTACAAGCCTAGTTTATATAAAAAAAAATTTAATACCTAGCGTGTTATAAAGCCTATATAAGTAATTAAAGGCCCTAAATAATATTAACTAGGGCTATATTTAGGGGCAGGCAAGCCTAATAATTTTTTAAAACACTATTTTTAGCTAGCAAGGCTATAAAAAAATTATACTAGTAATTTAATTAAATAAGTAAATTTACAGGCCTAGTTTATATAAAAATTTTTTATTATTACCTTTACCTTATATAAACTAGGCCCTTTAAAATAATAATTATACTTTTAAATATTTGCGCCCACCTTGCTAGTAAAAAAGGGGTTATAAAAATAATAAAAAAGGTGGGAATAATAAGCTAACTAGGGGTAAAATATTATTAAAAGTGCTAAATATAGGCCAAGCGGGGATAGCTTTAAAAATTAAAGTACCTAAATAAAGCTAAACTAGCTAAAAAAACTACTACTAGGGGTGTTAAATATAGGCTAAGCAGTGCTTAAAAATCTAGAAATTAAAGCTAGTTATAAAGGGCTAACTAGGGGCAAAATATTACTAAAAATAAAAGCTACTAAAGTTAGTATATAAAGAAAATAATATGCTTAAATAATTAGGGATTAAAAAGCCTAAATAAAGCCAAACTAGCCTAAGAAGACCGCTAGAGTTAGCAAGAATAATAGTACTAAGGGATAAAGGGATTAACATGCCTAAAAATCTAGGGATTAAATAACCTAAATAAATCTAAACTAGCCTAAATATTTAGGGATTAAAGTACCTAAATAAAGCTAAACTAGCCTAAAAAACTGCTAGAGCTAGTAAAAGGTGATTATAAAGGGCTAACTAGGGGTAAAATATTGCTAGGGGCGCTAAATATAGGCTAAGTGGTATTTAAACTAGGAATTAAGGTGCCTAAAAATCTAGGTATTAAAAAGTTTAAATAAAGCTAAACTAGCCTAAAAAACTACTGGAGTTAGCAGGGACTATAGTATAAAAAAATAAAAAAATATACTTAATTATATGCTACTAGGGGCTTTAAATATCCTAAAAATTTAAAAATTAAAATACTTAAATAAAGCTAAATTAGCCTAAAAAATTACTAAAGTTAGCAAAAATAATAATATAAAAAAATAAAAAAATATGCCTAATTATATATTACTAGGGGCTTTAAATATTTTAAAAATTTAAAAATAAAGCTAAACTTACCTAAAAAATTACTAAAGTTAGTATATAAAAGGGATTAAAAAGCTTAAGTAAAGCTAAGCAGGGTTATATTACTTATAACACCCTTAATTTATATAAACTAGGCCCTTTAAAATAATAAATATATAAAAAAATATTTATAATTATAAAAGTAAAAAAAGGACAGCTGTAAAAATTATAAAAGGGATTATTAAAATTAAAAGTAAATATTATAAATAAAGAACATGGTTCTTAAAGCGTGGTAGCCAGGGCAAATAAAAAGTTATAGGGTATAAAAGTAATACCTACTAACACCTGTAATACCCGGTAATAGTAGGGCCCACTAACCAATTAAAGAACAAATAAAACCGGGCTGTTATAGTTACAATACAAATATAAGGGATTAATATCACTGAGACAGCGTACTAAATTATTAATACTATTCAGTGATCAGTCTTGGAAAAGCAAAACAGGCCTGGCCGCCTGAACAAATTGATTATTGCACCAAGCTCTAGGCCCAGGCTCAAGTCTCGAGGGACCATGGACGGAGTTTGTTGATGTTGGCGACGGATAAATCCCCGCTGCTCGGGCACTAAAAGTAGAAGCCCTCGTGAGCCGTGAACCTCGAGCCACGAGCCCGGAGCCCGGCAGACTAAATTGAACCCTCTAAAAATCGGACGATGTCTGTCTAGAAAATTGCTCGTCTTTCCTCTGTTCTGGCCAATTAAGTTAAGATGCTTGACCTTCTGGAACCTGCCCATTTTCAGGGCTTCGGTTCTATGGCACAGGCAACAGGGTAAAACGACAAACCTGGTTAGCCGGCTCGTCTTTTCGATCGCCCGCCGCTCCGCCGCCTCCTTGAATCGCTTCGATTCCCCCGCATATATTCCCCTCCAAGCCAATCTTTTCAGGGGTGTGGCTGATATCGAACTCTCTTACACGTGGACGCCTTGTCATCGATCATTTTCGCTTAAAACTACTGCTTCGCTTTCCATTCCCTCTGCAAGGGCACATGCATGCTTCTTTGCTCCATCGCCGTGCCTGCTATTCCTCGGCCAAATCAATCCGGTATAGTCATTTTCTGTTAGGACCCTCCTCGCGACGCGCACAGGTCTACAAACCGTCATCACGTCTTAGTCTTAGCTCATTTTTGGTGTCCTCCTACCTACCGAGACGGTCATTCTCCACCGCCCCGTCATCTTCATTTCAAGAACCGAGGAAGGCCTCGACTGGCTGGACGATCACCCTAGCAATCCTTCTCGTTTCTGGCGGACTTTGGCTACAGGATAAATACCAGGCATTCAGAACCGTTCCCGTCTCCCAATCGACCGTCGTCGAACCGCGAACACAAGAAGATCTCTTTCTCGGTGTGATCGATACACTAAAGACCATGACCGTTGAAGCTGCTCCAGGAACTGTGGGCAACCTCACCCCGGAACAAGAGGCCAAGCTCCAGGAATTCTGGGTCCTCTTGTTCAAGGTGTGCGGTGTCCCTCTTGATGGCATTGAAGAAACCGAGCAACCCGCCCCGAGTTCCGTACAAGAAAAGAAACAACCGGCCAAGCGGAGATTCGGGTTCTTCGGAGGAGGCTCCCAGGAGAAAGAAGAGCCCGCAACAGCGAACGACGCTGCCTCTGGTCTTGCGTCACTCGCCATTACCGATGGAGACGACAAGTTTGGGACATCAAAGGAGTTCCAGAAGGCTCTCGCCGAGATCAAGCCGGAGGAACTGCGGACTGCGTTTTGGAGCATGGTGAAACAGGATAACCCGGACAGTTTACTACTGCGTTTCTTGCGAGCACGGAAGTGGGATGTTAAAAAAGCGCTCATGATGCTGATTTCGACCATTCGCTGGAGAATGCAAGACGCGAAAGTAGACGAAGATGTCATGGTCAACGGTGATCATCTTGCTTTGGAGCAACTGAAGAGCAGCGACCCCGTGGAAAAGAAGAAGGGAGAAGATTTCATCAAGCAATTCCGCCTGGGCAAGAGTTTCCTTCATGGTGTGGACAAGATGGGCCGCCCGATCTGTTATGTTCGAGTCCGCTTGCACCGTGCTGCTGACCAAGACGTCGAGGCGCTCGACCGATTCACTGTGTATACTATCGAATCGGCCCGGATGATGTTGGCGCCCCCAGTTGAAACAGCTGTAAGTTTTAGGACGTGAGCTGGCAGGATATTATCTGACTAGCTACCAGTGCGTTATCTTCGATATGACCGACTTCTCACTGGCGAACATGGTATTATTTCCGCTTCACTGTTTATTCGGAATTCGCTAACCGTGGTTCAGGACTATCACCCAGTGAAGTTCATGATCAAGTGTTTCGAGGCCAATTACCCCGAATCCCTTGGAGTGGTCCTTATCCACAAGGCGCCTTGGGTTTTCTCCAGTTAGTCTGCCCCTCCGTGATTTGGATTATATGCAAGTCTAACGAACACTTTAGGCGTATGGAGTATTATCAAGGGCTGGCTTGATCCCGTTGTGGCTGCGAAGATCCAATTCACCAAGACAGAACAAGACTTGGAAGAATTTATTCCGAAGTCACGCATCATTACCGAACTGGAAGGCGACGAGAAATGGGAATACAAATATCTTGAGCCCAAGGAGGGCGAGAATGCTAAGCTCAAAGATACCGGCAAGCGCGACGAACTGCTTGCTCAACGCCAAGAGCTGGCTAAGGAACTGCAAGATTCAACCGTCGCCTGGATTCTTGCCAGCAGGAAGAAAGACAACGCCAAGGAGGTTACAGAAAAGAGAAAGGATCTTATCGAACGCCTCCGGACTCAGTACTGGCAACTCGACCCCTACGTGCGCGCTACAAGTCTCTATGACCGATTAAACATTATCCAGGGTGACGGCAAGATTGAATTCTACCCTAAAGAGGCCGCCACCAACGGTGCGGCTGCAAATGCCCAATAAGCTGTCGAGAGCATGGTTATTGCTCATTATAGGCGCTTTATTTCATTGGACTGTCATTAATAGAGTTGTATCATCTGGGTTCTGTCATGTTGTCTTTGTTTTTTATACACCGCTACATTTGCTAGAATTGGGCCGGAAATCCGAGTATGGCCTGTGCTTAATGATTCATGAGTTGTTAAGTTAAACGAGGGAGCTCAGTCGGGTCATATTATCTCAAGCTAATGAACCTCCACGAGCACATAGACTCGTTACCCACTGGATACGCAGCCATATGTACAAGAATGCACAATCAACCACTTCACATCTTTGACTTAACAGACTCGTAGTACTCTTTGAGCTTCTCCATGTCTGACTCCTGAGCAGGCCATCCGATGCCGAGACCTTCCTTCTCGTTGGGCTTGGGAATCTGTGACAGTTAAGGTTTGAAGCCGCGTTATCGGGAGTACCTGAACATACCATGTGGAAGTGAACCTGTGCAGAAGGTCGTCAGTTCGCAAAAGAACCAAGAGCGCATGAAAGAAGATAGAGAGGGGTAACGTACATGATCAACAACCTGGTGCGCTATGCGGCCGTTGTTCTGAAGGACATTGAAGTCGGTCGCGCCGGTTGCTTGGGCAATCTTCTTGGCAACGGGCTGTTTGTTGTCACCTGTTAGCAACCTCGAAACATGCTGTAAGCTGGAAAGGTATAGATTTGGATTTGAGACATATTGAGCGGGGAAGGGTGGCGGAGTGCATCCCGCAAGGTACCCGGTTCCGCATATCAATACTTATAAGGGGGCGAGTCTCGCTTGGGTCTCTCCATTCCTCAAGATCTGATTGTATAGCCACATACCAGGATCTCTGTGAGATGGTCGTCGGGGATGTCGGTGAGCTTTGCGCCGTGGTACTTGGGGATTACGAGCTGTTGAGCGATTCGCGTTGTTAGCTTCTCTTGTCATACTCTTTCCGGATATTTCCGGATGTAACAGAGTAATGGGGAGAACAAAAGAGCTTACAGCATGTCCGCGACTGAGGGGCTGGATGTCGAGGAAGGCGAAGACCTTGTCGTTCTCGAAGAGCTTGAAGGAAGGGATTTCACCTATTTGGAGTCAGCTCCGCGGTTAGAAGAATGGGAAGGTTTTCTGGTTCCGGGGAGGGTACGGGATTGATTTACCCTTGATGATTCTGCAGAAGATACAAGCGGCCATATTGCAGTGGTGGGCTTTTTTGCTTGGACTTGGTACTGGAAGTTGAACTGAATTGAGGTCATCACAAAGAAATGCGGGGTCGGCGGTATCGGACCGGGAGGGATCACTCCACCAGCCACTGCTAACCATCCATACTTCTACACTCTACTACTCTGGGAAGGTCCACGCGCTTGAGCGGTTACTTTGAAGAACCAGACCCTAGGTTCTTGAGGGGCTCTGGCATCGGATACCTTCTTACCATGGCTTAGATTTGCTTTCTCCTGTCTATGATTTGATAGCAATACCGACCCCAAGACCTTATCGAACCCCACTCGGACATGATATGAAGCTGCTATAGTTGGGGACTTGGAGTCAACAACTCCCTATCTTATCGTTCCCTCAAGCATCCTTGGAGACATCTTCGTATCTGGCACCATATATAGAGTGCAGTACCCCGCCATTGGCCTCCCAAATGGCTACTTTTCTCCAATTGAGGGCATCGGTAGTAGGCGCATTCAAGCCAACTTCCAAATATACATCCGTTTTCCCCGCACGAAGACCATCTTCACACTTACGACGCGCATTTTCCGTCTTTTCAAGTCACGCCATGTTATCCACCGAGCTGACCGAGGCCCAAGTCTCGGCTCTCAGAGCCAATAAAGAGCGTCTTGCACAGGACCTCCACCATACATGTCAATGGGGATATGGAATCCGCTGGGGAGAGTGAGTATACAATACGTTGATAGTACATTGGCCGTCGCGGCCTCAACGGGAGCCTTAAAAGACTAATGATCAAACAGTGGCCACACAGATACAGGAATGCAGCGGTTGGCGCTGTCACAGGAGGATAAGCAAGTACGGGACTGGTTTATCGAGACTACGAAAGCTCTCGGGTGCAAGGTCACAGTAGACGAGATGGGCAACATCTTTGCTGTCCGTCCTGGTCGCAGAACTGATGTACCAGCGACATTCATCGGAAGCCACCTGGATACGCAGCCTACTGGTGGCCGATATGACGGAATCCTGGGTGTTCTGTCGGGCATTGAGACTCTCAAAACCCTAAACGATTTGGGATTAGAAACCGAGGGTGGGGTTGGCGTTGTCAACTGGACAAAGTAAGATGCCTTCCAGATCTCTTCCGCGAGCAAAGCTGATGCTCTGTAGCGAGGAGGGTGCCCGATTCCCTATCAGCATGGTCTCCTCTGGAGTATGGGCAGAATGCATCCCACTGGAGAAGGCACACGCACTGAAAGAAGTTCCCACTGTCGCGTCTCTTCCAACCGCAGCATCAGCCCCCGAGTCCATGAAATCGGCACTCGAGAAGATCGATTACCTCGGAAGCGTGCCGTGCTCATACAAAGAGAGCCCCATGGCCGCCCACTTTGAGCTGCACATCGAACAGGGCCCTCACCTAATCACCGCAGGCCAACAAGTGGGCGTCGTCACGGCCGTTCAAGCATACAGGTGGTTCCGCCTCAACATCTTCGGCAGAGACACCCACACGGGCACCACGGCATTCGAGCACCGCGCCGACGCCCTCTACGCCTTCGCCCGCATGATGGTGCGCGCCCGCGAAGTCGCCGCCTCACAGGGCTGCCTAGCAAGCGTTGGCATCATCGAAGCCAAACCCGGCAGTGTAAACACGGTCCCCGGCACCGTAAGCTTCAGTCTCGACCTTCGGGGTCCCAAAACCGAGCTGGTGGAGGTGGTGGAAACCCAGCTGCGCAAGGACTTCGACGAAATCGCCGCAGAGGAAGGGAAAGGTATCGGCAAGCCTTGCCGTGTAGAGTGGACATTGGATTTCGATTCCCCAGCCGTCAGCTTCCACCCGGACTGCATTGAGTGTGTGCAGCAGTCTGCAGAGGCGGTCGCGGCTGATGCGGGAGTTGCGGACCCTAAGTCACTTGTTAGAACCATCATGAGCGGTGCCGGGCACGATAGTGTTTTCACCTCGAAGAGGGTTCCGACGAGCATGATCTTCGTTCCGTGCAAGGATGGGCTGAGCCATCATCCTGAGGAGTTTTGCTCTGCTGATGACTGTGCTAGAGGCACATCTGTCATTTTGCAGGCCGTTGTCCGATATGACCGGAAGCGGTTCTCATCATGAACACTTCCTAGGTAGCTACACGAATGGAAAGCAAGTTTTGTATCATGATCATGTCATTATCTAGCTATTCCATAACAGACATAGTGGAAACATGACATTTCTTTTTGACTGAGTGCACTAGATGCAGTAATTTCTGGCCACAGCCTACTCAAACCACACTAGTGACACCCATAAAGACCCTCGGAAGACCGGGAGGCGACATCAACACCACCTTACGAAGGGGGAGCGCCACGGCCACGGCCGAATCCACCACGGAAGCTAGGAGCGAACTCGCCGGGGGCACCACCCTCCTTGCCTTCCTCACGGCGGCGGTAGCCACCCTCACGAGGAGGACGGGGACGGCGCTCGCGCTCCTCACCGCCCATCATGCCGCGAGGGGGAGCGTGGGAACGCTGCTGCTTGATGTGGGTGGCGGGGACAACCTCAGCGGGGAGGTGGAGCCATTCACGGAGGTAGTCAAGACCCTGGGTGTCTTGTTAGTAAATTGTTTCGTGAAATGTCGCATTGCCGCTGAGCGCGTGCGGAGACTGAGCGAGAGCATACCTCGGGGGTGAGGGTGTAGTAGTAGTACTGCCACGAGAACTGGGTCTTGACGTAGCCGCGGGAGTTGAGCGACTGGAGGGCCTTGATCACGTAGAGGTTCTTGGTGTCAATGTCGCCGTGCTTGGGAAGGTTGAAGTCCTTCTTGGCCACGAGCACACCCTCTAGAGCCGACAGTCAGTAATCATCCTTGCGCAATATATTTCGCGGCCAAGGCAATTCAATCCAACGTTGGGTACGTCGGGTTGTCTTGTCTTGTCTTGTCGCGCCGTCGAGGGATTCGTTCACATACCGCGGAAGAGGTACTCGTGGATCTTCTTGCGGTCTTCCTTGGGGATAAGCCTGGCATATTGTCAGTAAAACAAGTCGATTCGATCCACGTCTCATGAACTTTTACTCACATTGTCGCGAGTTCCTGTTGCTCTTCGGGGAATCGCTCTGACAACGCGCGAAGAGGTGGTTGAAATTGGATGTTGGAGTGGAGCGACGCTGCCGAGTTAAAAGTGCGGTCATTCCCTTTTCGGTGGTGAGAGGGCTCAGACCCTAATCGCTACGCCATTACCGATAAGATGAGCCGCGTCATGTGCTACATGTCATGTGACTTTGTAGGCGGAGCCGCCCGGGATCTGGGCCTTATCGTCGACTTCATGTGGCTAATCCAGCCTTGTGTACAAGACAACGACTCACCTCATCAGCTTCTCACCTTGGCGAGCGTCGATACATCAGCCTGAATACCAACATCTCGACTTATTGCTATTATACAAACAAACAGCAACGCAACCTCCGCGACAAATCAAGATGGCTTCGCACGTAAACGTTCTACTCTCGTCCTTCCCAGGACTTTCGCTCCCCTCAACTGTCTCCTTCGCACTCCCGGCTACGTCAACTATATCAGATCTTTGCGAAAAGGTGTCATCATATGTTCCTTCCTCTGTGCCGCTGCAGTCGCTTATTCTCACGACAACCAATAACAAACAACTCCTACCGTCATCGCGCGCCGTTTCCGACCTCATCTCACCAAATGGCGACTCGAACATTCTCCCCCTCCGCCTTAGCGTTCCTATGTGCGGTGGAAAAGGTGGTTTTGGCTCCCAACTTCGTGCCGCCGGTGGGCGCATGTCAAGCCGGCGCAAGCGCAACCAAGGCGACGACAACGGCTCTAGTCGTAATCTCGATGGTCGTCGTCTTCGCACAGTTAATGAGGCCAAGGCCCTCGCGGAATACCTCGCCGTGAAACCCGAGATGGACAAGAAAGAGAAAGAGGAACGCCGAAAAAGATGGGAGGCTGTCGTTGAGGCCGCGGAAAGGCGCCAAGAGGAACTCAAAAATGGAGGTGGAAAGCAGAAGGTCGATGGCCAGTGGATGGAGGATAAGGATGAGATGAACGAGAAAGCTAGAGAGGCGGTTCTTGCGGCTATGAGGGAGGGTACCTGGACAGATAATTTGAAGGACGCTATACTGGGCGGGTCAAGCACGAGTGCCAGTGAAGGAAGTGGGCAAGAGAGTGCTTCTGCGTCAGAAGACAGCGAGGAGGAGGCCGAGATGAAAGATGCGCCTGCGCAGTCTGGGCCGTCACAGGCTGCTGCACCGAGGAAATACATTGGTTTCGACGAGGACGATGAATTTATGAGCGACTCGGAAGAGGAGGAGGCTACAAATGATGATCCAAAAGGAAAAGGCAAGGCAAAGGCTTAGGTGATTGCAGTTTTGTTTTGTTCATACACTCTTACGGATTTTAGAGTTTAGCGCGGGTTATAGGTATGATCTAGTACAACAGTATACATAGTAGTTCTTCAGCCTTGGTCAAAATTGTCATTATCTTTATCCTTCCAATTCAGGAAAATTGGGCTGTACTCGTCCCTTCGCTGAGCCCGACCGCCTCTCCACAGCGTAGCTTACAGGGCCAGTTTACCACCTTATCGGCGATCGCCACTGCAACTTTTTCCGGATAGCGGAGCGGACCAACAATGCTTCAACAGAACGCTTAATCTCTGTCGCAAACACCTTTCTCTACCGTGATACTCGATCGTCATGTCGTCGTCCCTCAGGCGCATGAATCTAAAGACCCTGTGGAATTCTGTGCGACAGTATCAGCAACCACGGTGTCTCTTCCGCGGACAATATGCATCAACTCGCCTCTTGCGGCGTGAAGCTGGCTCCGGCCTTACTCCGGTGTTGAAGACTCAAGTACGAAACTCATCTACCGCCGCTCCTGACGCCTTGAAATCTCCGGAACAAGTCAAGGTCACTCTACCAGTATGCTGTCCAGGATGCGGCGCGTACTCGCAAACCGTCGAGCCGAACGAGCCTGGATACTATGGCAAATTTCGAAAGCAAACACGGAAGCTCTTGTCAGAAGCGCAAAAGGAATCATTGGAGGAACCTGCGACGCAGGACGCGGCATTCACCGTACAACAAGCTGTTGACAACCCGGAGCCTGCTCCTAGGCTACGCCGTGAGATTCCCCCCCTGACCTACCCCTTCGCTCTCTAATACTTTGGCTATATAGAAAAGGCCGTGATCGAAGATGCGGCGGACACCGTTAGCCAGTACCTCGAGAAATCGCAATCACCGGTGCAAGTTTGCGACAGATGCCACGACCTTCTACATCACAATAAGGCGGTATCCGCAGTATCGCCTACAATACACTCCATTGGAGCATATCTTGACGAATCACCGCATAAGCGGAACCGAATTTATCACATTATCGATGCCGCAGATTTCCCTATGTCGGTCGTCAACGGTATATATAAAGATCTTGAGCTCCAAGAGCAGCGCTCCCGGAATCGACGATCTGCAACGTATAAATACAAGCATGGGAAGCAGCTAACAACGATCTCGTTCGTTATCACTCGCTCAGACCTTCTAGGCCCCACAAAGGAGCTGGTTGATTCGAAGATGGAATACGTTCGGTCAGTCCTTCGTGAGAAGTTGAACATCTCATCGGAGGAATACCGCATGGGCAACGTGCATATGATCAGCGCTCACCGAGGCTGGTGGACCAAGAAAGTCAAGGAGGAGATGAGCGAGCATGGAGGTGGTCTTTGGATCGTGGGAAAGGCCAATGCTGGAAAGAGCAGCTTTGTGCAGGCGTGTATTCCAAAGGACTCACGGAATCTGGAAAAGTTGGCGGAGCTCATTGCACGCCGCGGTGAGGCGTCAACTGCTCCTAGCCTAAATGAGCAGCCTGATTTCGATTCTGATAATCTGCTTCCGCCTGCTCCGAAGGAGGATCTCTATCCTGTTCTTCCGGTTGTGTCGTCCCTACCTGGAACCACAGTTTCACCTATTCGGATTCCCTTCGGCCGCGGTAAAGGTGAAATCATTGACCTCCCGGGGCTTGACCGCGGCGACCTAGCCGACTACGTTCTGGCTGAATACAAGCGAGACCTCATTATGACCAAGCGCGGAAAGCCTGAGAGACATACTATCAAGCCCGGACAGTCCTTGCTTATTGGTGGCGGCCTTGTACGCATTTCACCTCTGGATCCTGAAACTATTTTCATGGCTTCGGCCTTCATTCCCATCGAAACTCACTTGACGAGGACAGATAAGGCCGTAGAGATGCAGGCTCAGGAACGCTCATATCCTGGAACTAATATCGTCAAGGAGGGCACAGGAAAACTGATCAAATCCGCCGGAACTTTCGACCTAAAGTGGGACGTGACCCGCTCACACCTCCCGACATCCATCGCAAAAGCCGTGGCAGACCATGGGATCAAACCTCCTTCCTTGCCGTACAAGGTGATGTCCGTCGATATCCTGATTGAAGGATGCGGCTGGGTTGAATTGACTGCTCAGATTCGCGCAAAGCAGCAGGGTGGTGAGGGTGAAGAGGGTGCGCCGTCCTTCCCACAGGTTGAAGTGTTCTCTCCTGAGGGCAAGCATGTTGAAGCACGGCGGCCCATCCAGAGCTGGGAATTCCATGCGAAGAAGGCGGCGGCCAAGAAACGAGAAACCGGTGCTCGCGGTCGTCGGAACGTTGGACACATGAAGCGGAAGCAGACAGCTTAGTGCTGAATGATTTTTCTGGATATACGGTGATTAAACTGTCCCCTCTCTCTGTACAAAGGACTGCGGTGCTCCTGTACATTATTCTGATATAGCATAGCGAACGGTGTTTAGGATATAAGATTGGTTCATAGATGTACTATACAGGGCTTTCACTTTTCTGATCATGAGATAAGAAGCAAGCAGACTACTGCTTATACCCCAGGCTTCATAGATATACAAGGCCAGGCATTTCTCACTGGCTTTATTGCATCGTGGTTGCTGACAAACTTGGTTAACTGGGCTTGGGCTCACAAAACAAGCGGAAATATATTTTTCTGCATCAAACATCAAACGCTGAAAGAACTCGAACACTTCGTCTATCCTCACGTCCGCGAATCACCAGAACCATCCAAGTCAATCACAATCCTTCTATTAGAGGCCGACCCGTCCCGCAGCATATTCAACGCATCATTCACCCCCGCTAGCCCATCGTTCCGCACGATCAACTCCGGCGGTGTCAGAGCCCCAGTTTCAAGCAAACACTCCAGCCACCGCATGAGTCCCTCCGCTACGGGCTCACAGATATGGAAGAGCTTAATTGGAACAGAGTGGTAGCGAATGCGCGGGTGTCGTTCCTTCGGCATCCCCGTAAGCCCCAGAAGGTGTGCTTGCGGACTGTCAGGGTTTGTGCAGAGAGCTTCCTGTAGGATTGTGGCGGTCTCGCGTCCAACCATGTCCAGCGCATACCGAAGACGCCCTCCCGTTACGCCGCGTATTATCTCGATCGCTCGCTTCTCGTCGAACCGGTCGACGAGCAGGTCTGCCCCGGCTTCGTGGAGCGTCCTTCCGTGGCGGCTGACGTCGGCTACGCAGATGACTTTCAGTCTGCACTGCTTGGCGAGTTGGGTCATAATGTATCCTGTTGTGGTGGAGGCTAATCGAATTGGGTTTCAGTATACATCTGAAGAACTCGTTGGCCAGGGCCAGGTCTTACCTCCCCAGATAGCAATCCACTCTCCTTGCCTGACATGTTGCGCCTCGCCAACCTGGAAACATTCTCCCGCAATATCTTCTGGAACTGTGCTCTTGTCGATTCCTCCTAGAATATGCACTAGGTTGGGACCGGCCGCAGCTGTCGCAGCTGAGAAATCCAGGCCAAAGCAAACGCCCAACGCGAGGGCCGCCGCGACATATGCTACCCCGACGCAAGCGCCTTGGTGAATTGAGATGTTCTGTGGAATTTTTGCGGCGTTATGCTGTGAGGCCACGGCATATTCCTGGAAAGCAGCTTTCCGAATATCTCGGTAATCGGTCGAAGGCACGAGGACGAGATCTCCGACTTGGATGCAAGAAGACGGGCTATGAGATGATGATGTCTTGACAACGATTCCCGCTAGGTCTCGCCCGAAGACCCAGGGCAACCCGGGAATACCGAAGTTGAAGGCACTGCCCGGTTTTGCATGAGCTTCTTGACGTATAATCGATGGGCTGAGAGAAGGAAGATACATACGGGGCTTTCCAGTCAACGGGGTTGAGTCCGACGGCGGCAACTTTGATCAAGATTTCGTCTGGGTGTGCTAGGGCTGGGACCTCATGGTCCGTGACGAGGGTGTATGCCTCTCTTACAGCTTGCAAAAGTAGGGCTTTTTGAAAGAGCTGGATGTTGACTTGCACTGGCTGCTTCTCCTGTTCGTGGGGATATTCTGAGAGATTACTGCTCAGGGTGTGCACGTGTTCCTGCTGGACAATGGTCGATACTGTGGTAGCCATTGTGGTGATGTCTACTTCTGCCTTAGGGCTTTTCGAGGAAAGAATGGAGTTAAAGGACTCCTTATATGCTACGAACTTGATGAGGCATCAACAACTGCGACTATTGGTTATCCTGGCCATACCTCTCTGCGAAAACCGTTCCTACAAGGAAGACTGCCGCTGTCGCCATCCAGAGGCGAGTGCACGGCATGGCCGGAGATCCCTCCGTGAAGCAGTCCCCTATCCCTGTACAGACGTCCAGATATGCCCAGGTAACCCGCATTGGGGCGGAACTACAGGCGGGGAAACACACCAGACACCTACGCCTGGCATAGCCCTAGTGGGTAGCTTGCGTACGCCCATGACAACGCCGCCGTGATCCGGCCGAGGAACTGGGTGAGATCCGACAGGAACTTTGTACAACCTGAATCAGGCAATTGTGTGTACGGAAGCTTAAAGGAACTGAGTTGCCATTGATAGGGAAATCCGCTGATAAGCTACTTAACCATCAAAGTGCACTGCAGCCTTTTCTACTTGTTGCAAGAGAGCAGAGCCAACCATGACAGAGCTGCAGGAAGCAGCTACCCGCAATGGCGGAAAGAAACAGATTATTCTGAATGCGTTTGAAATGTCAACGGTCGGGCATATGTCGCCTGGACAATGGAAGGTGCGTAGAGGCAAATTGTCCGACGTTTGCGATTTGTGCTCTGCTAATCCTTTGCCTCTCCTAGGACCCTGAGGACCGTTCTCCCACAAAGCGCACGCTTGAGTATTGGACCAACCTAGCCCAGATCCTCGAAAGGGGAGATATTACTGCGCTGTTCTTGGCGGACACGTACGGTGGCCACGACACGTACGAAGGCTCGATTGATAACTGTGTCCGGCGTGCGGCGCAATGGCCCATGACTGATCCTTCTATTGTGGGTATCTCTAGCTGTTTCCGACAGGATTTTATGCTAATCCAGTTCCTATGCAGCCTATCTCAGCAATGGCTGCTGTGACCAAGAATCTAGCATTTGCTATTACGGCATCCACCTCTTTCGAGCCACCCTTCCTCCTTGCGAAACGGCTATCAACCCTAGACCATTTGACAAAGGGGCGAATTGGGTGGAACATTGTCACCGGCTGGAAGAAAGGCGCATTCAAGGCGATTGGTTTGGACGAGCCCCCAGACCATGACCGTCGGTATGCGCAGGCGGATGAGTATGTTCGGGTCTTGTATAAGTGAGTGCTTAATACCCAAAGCCAACTTCTTTACTGTTTCTGACAATAGTAGGTTGTGGGAAGGCTCTTGGGCAGAAGATGCCATAGTCCAAGACGCGGCCAACGACGTCTTCACAGACCCAGCCAAAGTCCGGACCATCAAGCACGATGGCGAATTCTACCACCTCGAAAGCAAGCACATCGTTGATCCTAGTCCGCAGCGGACGCCGCTCCTGTTCCAAGCGGGTACCTCACCGTAAGCAATCATTCAAGTACATAGTGAGCTTCTACCTAACTTCACCAGCGCCGGATCCCAATTCGGTGCTACTCACGCCGAAGGAATCTTCGTCTCAGCACACAGCCCCTCGGTTCTCGCCCCGCGCGTCGCAAAGATCCGTGAGATGGCTAAGACTGCCGGCCGTGACCCCGATTCCATCAAGTTCTTCGCCAGCATTACCCCCTTCATCGGGCGCACAGAGGAAGAAGCAAAAGCCAAGTACGAGCGCGCAAAGAAATACGCCTCCGCAATCGGCGGTCTAGTTCTCTTCTCCGGGTGGACGGGCATTGATCTCTCAAAGGTGCCGTTAGACGAGGAAATCGATCCAGAGAAACACTCGCTCGAGGCGCACAAGGTTACTTCGGTCGCGGAGATGCTTACTGCCAGGACCCCAGACCTACCTAAGCTGACACCCCGAATTGTTGGCGAGATGGCATCGATCGGTGGCCTGGGCCCTGTAGCTATTGGCACCCCGGAGCAGGTTGCAGACGTGATGCAGCAGTGGGTGGACGTTGCTGATGTTGACGGATTCAATGTGGCGTATGTGACCACGCCGGGGACGTTTGAGGATGTTGTTGATCTGCTTGTGCCGGAGTTGCGGAAGAGAGGTCTATATGCACCAAAGCCTGATGCAGCCGGAACCACAGCGAGAGAGAAGTTCTATGGTAAGGGACAGAGCAGGCTGCGTGAGGACCACGTTGGGAGTGCGTATAAGTACGATGTCTACAAGGAGGATGCTCCTTTCAGCGCTTGATGGAGTAGTACTTGATAATCGTTGGCGTTATTCTCAAGGTTCCACCTGTTTGAACTGTATCTTCTTGCCTAGTATATTTGTACGGCCGGACCACGTCCCATCTACTTCGGTGCGCCTGCCACGATGCTGCAACCCACCTCCGACTGGTTTATCAGGCACAATTTATTCTGATATAGTGCGGACTCCAACCAGTACAAACAGGTCTACTGTCTTCATCTGAACCTGGTTAATCCCCACTGATTTGCCCTCTCGTGTACACGTAAAGGACCCCAGATTCTCCCGCCTATCATGAATATGTCGATATCTCCAGGCCTGCCCCTAGAGCTATCGATATCGACGTGACTCGTCTGTCCAGGATTATTGCTGAGCGTCGGATCCCGGCCCGTGGGCCTAGACTGAATCAGGTCAAGAATGAGGAGAACCTTTCTATCCCTGCACTATCACTCCCGAGGTTGATAACACTCCCCTACACTATACACCAGGAGGGATGGTAGTATTCCCTCAACTTGACAAGATGATAACAGGCTCTCTGATACCAGTCCTGATAGCCTCGCTACCCCGAGATCCGCTTCCCCAGAACATCACTCGCGAGCCAGCTTAAAACGAGCCCCGTCTGTCCCCGCCGTGGATTATCCATCACCACCTACCGAATACCAGGAGACCGCACTTCGTTTCCATGATGGCCGACAAAGTCGACCCCAAGGCCCCCATGCCCGGCATCGAAGAAAAAGGCCAGCCCGGCAATTCCTTCACCTGGACAGCCGAAGATGAGCGCGCCCTCCGCTGGAAAATCGACCTGCGCGTCTTCCCCGTCCTCATCGTCCTTTTCATTCTCAACTTCATCGACCGCAACAACTTCGCCAATGCCCGTCTCAAAGGCCTCGAGGAGGACCTCCGCCTCACAGATGTACAATACCAGACTTGCATCTCCATTCTGCTAGTCGGGTATATTGCCTTCCAGATCCCCTCGAACATGCTCCTCAACACTCTCCGTCGGCCAAGCTGGTATCTCTGCGCCGCAGCCGCCCTCTGGGGCGCCATATCAGCGGCTACGGCCGGGGTCCATAATGCCACCGGTGCTATTCTGTGCCGCTTCTTCCTGGGGTGTGCTGAGTCGGCGCTGTTCCCGGGGAGTATCTATTTCCTGTCGAGATGGTACACAAGAAGGGAGATGCAGCTGAGGGTGACCTTGCTGAATGTTGGAAACCTCGTCGCACAGGCGTTTGGGGGTTTGATTGCCGCTGGGATCCTAGGCAGGATGGAAGGCACTGCCGGGATTAGGGCTTGGAGGTGGCTGTTTATACTGGAGGGTGTCATTACCGTTGCCTGTGCAATCATTGCAGGCTTTATCCTGCCTGACTATCCATCTACAACGGGTTGGCTATCGGCGAGGGAAAAGCAGATCGCCCAGCTTAGGCTTGACCTTGACGTTGGGACTGACACGAGCCCAGAGAAACCAACCCTAAGTGATGCTTTGACTGGATTAAAGCAGGCGGTCGTTGACCCCAAGGTCTGGCTACTTGGGATTTCGTATCACTGCACCATTATGGGCCTTTGCGTAAGCCTGGCCTCATCCCAGTTTCCACTCATGACTATACTGACGCCCCGTCCAGTTTAGCTACTTCTTCCCAACCATCACCCAGTCCCTTGGCTACGGCACAACAACCACTCTCCTCCTCACTGCGCCTCCCTGGATTTGGGCCGTGCTGATTGCCCTCCCCAACGCCTGGCACGCTGACCGAACAGGCGAGCGGTTCTTCCACTATCTTGGCCCGGCAGCAGCCTGTATCGTGGGCTACATTATCGCAATGACGACGCAGTCCACTGCACCGCGATACGTGTCTATGTTCTTGATGACGAGTGCGTCTGCCTTGACTTCTATGTATAAAACACACTTCGCTAACCTTGTTACTCTGTGCAGCCGGATACGCCTCAGGCTTCGTGATGCTCGCCTGGATCAGCAGTACCATCCCCAGGCCCCCAGCCAAGCGGGCAGCAGCCATTGGTATTATCAACGCGATGGGTAATGTCGGAAGCATTCCCGGCTCATATATCTTTCCGTCGAAGTATGGGCCGCTCTATGTAAAATCGTTTGGGGCCGAACTGGCGATTCTGGGGATGGGGTGTATTTGCGCCCTAACTCTGCGGACTTATCTGAGATATCTGAATAAGAAGATGGACGAGGAAAGTGAGCGAGACGAGGTGTATAGCGAGGGTGAGGTTGCTGAAGAGAAGCCGTTCCGGTATTTGTACTGAGGTTGGACACCTTGGTTACAGTAAGAAGACGAGGATGTGGTATTAATATGCTCTTGTACGCTGTGTTCTTCGCTGGTCTACCCTGTACAGACTCATGTAATGAGTAGATAGTTTCTCGTTATATGACCCACAAACTGATTATCCTAGTTATGCTGATGGCTAGATACCCGTGGACTCATCTCTAGGGTATTGCCACGATTCCCATTCACATTCCACCACCGTCCTCGCCAGACATACAAACAGTAACCACAACGTAAGTGTTTCTTCCTGGTCGACTAGGTGCTCCCTGACATGGTCAGACCAGTTAGTCTGGAGATAATCCCAGAGGGAAATCCCTAGCCTTCCGTACCCTCGGGGGCATCAGCCGGACCATAGCTCCCTATTTTGTTCTTCTAGGCCTGAATAGACCGCGTCACTTGTACCTAGATAAGATATCTCCGGACTCACATTCCGTCACTTCACTTCAACTCCAATAAGACCACGGTCATGAGTCAGTATCCTATACAACAACTCCACCCGATCCACTGAACAACCATTTCAGACTATCAGCACGACTGGCTACAAGATGAGTTGGAACCTTCAAATCAAAGGACAAAACATCAAACGCCAGCGACGAGCATAGCAGCGTTCGCCGTGCGTGCCACCAAGATCTTCGAGAGATCTTTGAGAAACTCCAGAAAGAGCGAGTCCGCAAGCTGGACGATAATCTTTGCAGTGAACTTGGGATCATCAAAGATATGCTACCTTGTATCCCTGATCCTGAAACTCCTCATCGTCCTTCTTTCTACTAGTCCTTGATGGTAACTCAGATCAAGAACCAGCATCCAGACCTCCGCGACCCAGAGACAGCCGACGTAATGGAAGAAGGGGAGAAGGACTGGAAGAGTGTCCACCCAGACGATATCGACTCGGGAGACGCAGTGCATTTGTCGATGATGGATGAGTTTTCGATGTATGATCGCGTTCTCTCGAACGGCGAGAAAGTTGGGACTCTCAAAAACCAATCTGAGTGGATAAGATTGTGAGATAACATGCGAAACAGTTATCAGCTCTTTGTGACTCCTCGCTAACGAGCATCATTGACCTACTAACTGGGACGACAATTTCCTCCACGAGACTTTCCGGTGCCTCGGCAATGTCACTGACACCCCTATTGAGCCCTGGGTAACAGACATCCGAAATGCTTTTTGCCGGAGAAAACACGTACTCGGGGATAGTGCGCCCCATGTCCTCTGTACCATGATCCAACACTCCTCTCCCACCGAATTTCTTCTCCGCACAGAGGTATTGACAATAATCATCACGCGCCTTGGAGTCCAGGCTCTGCAAAAGCACCAAGTGATGCCGGTAGGGATGATCTTCTCGCAATGGAGTGCACTACTAAGTTCTAGAATACCTTTCTATTCAATAGGTCAACGTGCTGTCGTGCTTCGACGGACTCAAGGCGCGCATCATCCAGGCCCACATGACAGACAACGGCCTAGCTATCCATCACACGCGCCTGTATGACTTCAGCACATTGGACGACCGTCGGCGGAGTGCCCTGGCCTGCCTCGGATACGTGGCCAGCATTCCCATTGGCGATACCACGTCTTTGAACTATACCTCAAAAGACAACGGGAAGGAAAACTTGCCAATTTCTCGCGATTGAGCTAGCGCATGACGCACTGGTAGAGACTCATGCTGTCTTGTCACATAAGTCGCATGTTTCAAGGGCAATACTAAAATGGAGACAGTTGGTCAGGTCAAAGCTATATTCTCCACATTGCATCGTTCATGGGCCACAGAAACTTCCTAAACAGCTACATTATCCAGAACTACCATTCAGGGGGTTCCTCATTGCCTGGCAAATCATAAGCCTTTGCGAGGATATACAGAATCATATCATGACAGATAATGCCAACCAGGACCCAATCACCTCGGTCTAGTACGTATCGTCAGCAATGCTTCGCTGGGCTAGGGCAGACAGGAAACTACACTGGTACTCTAGATAAAATTCTATTACCAGTTCAAAGGCAAGAAAGTTATATAATCAAGCTTCTCCTTTTTACCAGGAGGCATATCTAACCCCCAGGCCTGCAAGAGCAATCAATGCACCCGTAGCAGTCGCCCCAAATGCTTTCGTCACGCTATAATCACCCAGGTGGTCTCTATCCAGAGGCAGTCTGAATATCGGGAACAGAAACCACGGGGCAAACAAGTATATACACAGATACGTCCAGAGATATCCCAATAGATATCCACAGTGCCGCGGCACTCGCCATCCCAAGCGTGGGACCAGGACCTCGCAGTAAACCCGCTGAGCGCCCTCCTCAAACAGCATTGCCAATGGCGATATCATGAAGAATGACGATATCCCTACCAGACTCCCTGGAACATCGGTGTATACCGCTGCCGCCTGGTGGAAGAAGCCGGATAGGCTGAAGACCATTATAAGAGAGAGGAGTTGGTCTGCTAGGGGTGGGAGTTGAATGACGCGGCGCAGATGGCGGCGCACACAGGTAGACACGGATAGTGTTGGCCAGCGGAGAAATTGGTGCCATGTTTTGCTACTGGGTATCAGTCGCCAGTACTTATTTGAAGAGAGCGCTTGCGGGGGGAGGTACTTACGCCCAGAATCGGCGAACGGTGTATGCATCACTGATACGCCCAAATGCTGGAGGCCACTGCGCGCAGGATGTCAGGCCGGTAGCAATAAACGTTATGGCGAGAAGACCGTGTGCCAGGTCAATCAGCATCGCAAGGCCCACTATACCGACGATGCATAGGTGAGAGCGTGCGATGAGTTGCTCGGCTGTTGTATTCGGGCCAAGGAATTCTGTTTCAAAATCAAATACCTGCGGCTTCCATCGCTGGTGGCTATCAATGTAGCCGAAGAAGATTAGGTCGACGGCAAAGATTTGCAGGAGCACTCTCGCTGCCCGACGAAGCAAACAGCGTGAGCGAGTCGGAGGAGTAGCATGTGGCTGAGCCTGAGCCTTGAGGATCTTGATCTCCCATGGTGTGCCGATGCCACGGAAGCTGAATACCAGTCCGGACGCTGCCAGGAGCTGTGGGATGATTCGAGAATTGCGTAGTGTTGCGTAATCGATATGGTCTCGGAGTTCAATTCCAATTACGGCGAAGATGCTGGCAAGGTGGCATGCCTTGAGCAGGATGAAAAAGGATAAAAGGCCTTTCAAGACCGGCGGGCCTCCTAAAGAAGGCAGAAGGCTTATCTCAGTGCATACCAATAGGGTCAGGACGAGGTTGACAACACGGCGCGTGAGTGAACGCTTCAGGGTCAAGACGATTGCAAAAGCAGCGAGCGTGGTTTCAGCGCAGATCGCACTCCAAAAGAGCCATGATTGGGGAAGGATCCGCGGAGAGAACTGGAAGCTCATGACGAGAATTGGTGTGCACGGGAAGAGGAAGTCTCGATGTGTATTTGAGAGTCTGCCTAGGGATCACCCTGCTGTAGCAAAACAGACAGTATATATCTAGTCCACTTCAAGGAAGTTGCCCAATGCCAAGGGCCTGCGAACTTACACGTCTGTGGAGGGGAATGCGCACATTAACAAGATGGGGAATGCCGCAGGTTGATCTCTGAGGTCTCATCTTACCAGAAGGTGAAAGCTGCATGTTTACTGCCGTGTGACTTTAAAAACCAGATTACCTAGTTCCAGGGAAAGTATAATTTGAATCAACAAAACAATTACCTTGTCCAGAAGTCCGGGGACATTTACATCACAAGTTTGTTGTCATGTCAGCAAGTCCTGAGGGTTGTAGTCGTGTGATCATCTTTAACTTCTGCAGATGCTATTCCTGACTGCCGCTTGAAGTCCGTGCGGCAGTCACCCGGCTCTAAGAAAGGGTTTGTTCAAACAATAGGATTGAGATGTGCAGGAGTCGTTGTCAGTCAACATCTACAAGACAGTGCGCCATCCGCAAGCATTTTGAGGTTAACAGAGGTTACTGCTACTAATTGAAAAGAAGCATCGGCTACACTCAATTCCTGCTATGATGCCTGCATAGCCCTAATAATGGATGCCCGTTGAATGAACTCCACGTAGCAGAAATCAGAGGCTCTAGCTGACGCAGTGAGCTATTGCGGAAGATCATTGCTGGCAAGGGGGGTTGTAAACGGGAAATAGCAAGTCTATACTCCTTCAGGAAAGCCCAAGTGCATTGCATTCCTTGATTGTGTCAGTTGCCGTACAAGCCAACTCAGCTTACTCCTTCTCCCAGAAGACCAAGCACCTGAACTCAATACTTTCTCGAACCTCTCCATCCTTCTCATCGAGATCCTCAAATGATGAATGCACCGCAACCGCCTTGGCCATTGCAGGTGCCGAATCAAAAATCTTCATCAAAAGCACATCCGCCAACCCCATGTTGGATAGATAATACCACCTCTGCCTCTCATTATATTTAGCCATGGCAATTTCCCATCCGACCGTGGTCTTCAATCTCTGATTCCCGCCCCTGGCCCTAGCATTGGCCGAGTAGTCCATGCGAATGGGCAGTAAATCACCCTCTTGCAATGTACTGCCGTCGCAGATAGCAAGGGGATCTCGTCTAACGGGCTTCATGGGCCTCCGAACATTGATAATTGCCCACCTTGTCCGCGAGAGCCGCGAGGCGTCATCGGACGGGAGTTTCTCGTAGAGATAGTTCGTGGCGCCCGCAGCGGTGTGGTCGAGATGGGCAGCTCGCGCGGGACCGGGTGTCCCTGTATATTCGCTGTTCAGATCGCTAAGGGCCGAGCGAATGGTGTGGGAAGCGACTTTGACGTGTGTTGGAGGAGGGACCACACTGCCATTTCTTAAGCCCTAGGCAACAAAAGGAGTTATAATATAGACAAGCAAGACAAAGAGAGGGCGGAGGTACTTGTTCTTCAAAAGCTCAGCTGTCTCCGCATAGACCTCTGATTTAATGACTGCGGGATCGAGAACGGGGAGATATACGCTTCGGTGGGTGGTGAATTGGAAGCCGTTGTTGGATAGGCTGAACTCGTCCTGTCGACCGCGAACGTCATGGATCGTTACAACTCGTTTCTCACTTGCGTGTGAGTAGAAGTCAGCCGTCCCGGTCATGCTTCGGGTGGCTGAGTCGGCGGGAATGAAGTTGAGGGTTGCTTGAACGTCTTTGGCCATTTTGGTTGCTGCATAGATTGACTGTTGTTAAGGTTCCATGCGTTGGTGACGCCTTTATAGATGCCTTGAACTTGAGACTTTCAAGGTCCCCCAGTGGCCGTGAGGAAGCAGTGGAATCCAACCCAACCTGACCTGACTTTCCCACGTCGCAAAACAAATATGATGGATGACGTGGTTAAGGTTTTTGTATGCACATGCTTCCTTCGTGCAAGATTGTTGTATGCACTTTCTTCTTCTGTGTAACGCGATCCTCGCTTGCTTGAAGCCTCGGAATCGGATGCTTGAAGGTGATGCCAGGTAGCCAATCACAAGATATCGACTAGAATTGCTGCATTGCGTGACGTAGATTGATTTGTCCTTGATGCCCATGAGGAGGTCGGGGTGTGTTATGAGAGTGAGGAAAAGAGAAGCAGAAATAATCAAGAATGCAAAATGAATAAATGCTACCAGTCCTTTAAGTAATCCAAGACGCCCGGCTGCCCTCGGCTTCCCGTATTGATTTGATTGTCTACTGCTCTCTTTCTCCCCATCAAGCCTACCTTCTGCTTACAGCGAGACAATCGCAGTATGGACTCAAACAATGAGGTTGAGCCTCCCAAAGCGACCATCCTCGTGGATCTAGGGGGTGTTTTTGTGCATCCACCAGAAGATTATACGTTGACAACCAGTGAATCGACCGTGACGTTAGGCCGAGTCCTATCGTCGTCCATCTGGATGGAGTACGAGATGGGCAAGATTACCGAGCAAGAATGCTTTACCCAAGTGGCAGATCTCTACGGCTTCCAAGTGAAGGACTTGGAAGCAGTCGTCTCTGATCTCCGTGAGTCTCTCACATATGACCAGCAAATGCTTTCAGTTTTCCATGCCATCAAGCGCCGGACTACCGCGGTCGAGATCATTCTTGTAACGAATATTTCTGAGCCCGAATATCGCGCCCTGCGTAACCGGTGGGACGAGGACTTTTGGAGGACTTTCGACGGTGTATATGCCTCGTGGATGATTGGTCTTCGCAAACCAAGCTTACGGTTCTACCGGCATGTAGTTCGGTCCACGCGCTCTCTGCCACAGAGGACCTTTGTTATTGATGACCGGCCTGAGAACGTGCTGGCAGCTCTGTCTCTGGGGCTGCGCGGGACAGTCAATACAGATGCAGGCGTCGTCTTTCGAGAACTTCTAAACTTCATCGAAGATCCTGTCAAACGAGGCCTTACCTTCCTTCGACAGAATGCTGGGAAACTGCACTCGACTACCCAGGAAGGCGACTCCATTGAGGAAAACTATGCCCAGCTCCTTGTTCTAGAGGCATTGCAGGACTGGTAGGTCATCCCAAACCTGTGGTTACTGTCTGAAACTGACCAGTTATTCCTGCAGGAGCCTTGTGGATTTGCGCCGTCCCCCATGTCTATGGAATTTCTTCTCGGGCAAGCCAAAGTACACGAGCCAGACGTATCCGGACGACATGGATACAACAGCGCTAGCTCTAGTGGCCATAGACTACAAGCCAGAGATAGCTCACCAGATCCTTGACAAAATGCTGGGTAATGTCAATGAGGACGGACTTGCTCAGGTACCTCTTCTTCCGCAAGCGGCAGTCCCCCCAATCAGCGCTAACGTAATCAGGTATATTTCGACAAGTCCAGGCCCAGGGTGGACGCAATCATCGCACTAAATGTCCTCGTTGCTCTCCATAAGTATGGGCGCGGCTATGAGCTCCCAGAAACACTGGACTGGGTCCACCATATCCTCCTTAACAGGGCATACATATACGGAACACGGTATTATGCAAGCCCAGAGTGGTTTCTCTACTACGCTAGTCGGCTTCTCCTCCATTCAAAAGATCCGAGCTTGGAAGAAAAGCTCGGAGCCTTGCTTCGAGCGCGCCTTGTTGAACGGACTGGTGTTGACGGGGACGCCTTTTGTTTGGCGATGCGCCTCCTTGCTTGCAATTCGCTTGGGATCAGGAATCATCTAGATCGAGAGAGGCTGGCTAGCATGCAGCAGGAAGACGGAGGATGGGAGCCATCTGCCATGTATGTATTTCCAACTGATAAGAAGACGGTTGGGAATCGGGGAACTACGACTGCACTCGCTGTTAAAGCTCTCCAGGATGCGGTATAAATCTGCAATATTCATGCCTGGGGCTTCCAATTGCTCACATTTTTTATCTGGCTCTCATTTTATGTTTTCGAAGACTTTGATAATAAACGATATATTGGGGAACTAAACTGGTCACTGGTAGCAGGAACCTTGCTGAGTTCCGCGGAGTGCTCAATGACATACCGGCGGATTCTGTACAAAGCTAGGGGTTGAATGACATAGGCAAATGATTTCAATTACAAACATGACCTCCGCAATAGAAATGCAGTCTAAGATAAGAAAGAACCATCGGAGATAAGATGAAGGTTTCGGGCGTCTCCACAGAACAAGAGCAACTGCATGACTCCAACAGGACTAAACTAGTCTCTTGTCTCTTCTCTTCTCCAACTCCTACACTTCTGTGCGTCGATTAGCTATCATCATTAAAACTATGGGCACCTCAGGTCGCATATGGAAGGCTTGTCTATCTTGTCGCAGGAAGAAGGTAACACTCCTACTACACATTGAGGCAATAGTTGACCCCAGCAGATCAAATGCGACGGCGAAGACCCTTGCCACAATTGCCAGTCCCGCGAGCAGATCTGCGAGTTTCAGGACAGCAACGACAATGCCTCGACCAGCCGGCGGTGCGTCGCCTACTTGATTCTTGGTTCGCTTGACTGACTGAGTTGAATAGGTATGCCGCCTCCTTCGAAGAACGCTGCCAACACATGGACAATCTATGTGAACGTCTCGAAGGACTAGCCAAGACACTCTCCGACTGCATCGCCACGGCCCAGCGGTCGACGTCAATTCAGTCTTCGGGTGCAGCTTCAATATCGAATTCGATCCCGCCAGCGCGGCATGAAGAGCAGACTGCCCTGCCTCATTCAGACCCCGTCATCGACATTCCAGATATAGGTGAGGTACCGGATAGATCGCCTGGATTTGGCTTGGGTGCTGTTTCCGAGTCTTCGGGGAACATGCAAGGGCATGATACGCAGACGTATCCGACGCCAGTTGATGCAGTAGGCCATATGGTCGCGGACTCGTATGGGCGGCTGAGGTGGGCTCAGACTATTCACCCAAACAGGACCTTTACTGACAACTTCGTGTACTTGCAGGTACATCGGAGGCGCGACTAACAAAATGATGATCGAAGCCGTCCAAAACCTCTCCCCCGGCGGCGCATCCAAGCCTATTCGCTCCATTGACAAAAACAACGAAATCAGCCTGCCCTTCTTCATCCAAGGCCAAGTCTGGCCGGAATTGCCCTATCTCCCGCAGCCGCAAGATCTCGCCCGCCCACCGCAGTACGTCTCAGACCTGCTTGTCGGAATCTACTTCGACCAACTGCACTACACGTTTCCGATCCTGTACAAACCGGATTTCATGCGTCGGTATCACCTCATGAATGCAGGTGCCAGGACAAGTGCTAAGAGAGATACGGCTGTCGGACGTGGCTTCCTCTCTGTATTCTTTGCAGTTTGTGCTTGTGCTTCGAGTTTGCTTCCTAGAGCTCCTGGATCGTCCTCCCTTCCTGGGATTGAGTACTACCAGAAAGCTCTTCTTTTGCACTTTGCCTCTTCCGGTGAGGTCTTTCTGGAACAGGTGCAGTGCTTGGGGTTGTTGGCGCTCTGTTCAGCTGGGTGGAATACGCTCTCACAGAGTTGGAGATTCGCAGGGCAGGCTGTAAGGCTTGCGCAGGATCTAGGACTGCATGTTTCTAGTTTGGTATGTCACCTGCCCTGCTCAACCTAGGTCATGTCCATGCTGTATACTAAGCAGAGCAGAAAGGGCTCTCTATAGACACGCCGAGCCCCACCGAATATGTCGAGGCACAGGTTGCAAGGTGTACGTGGTGGAGTGTCTTTACACTTGACTGGTACGCCTATCTCAGTATCTACCCAGTGTCGCATCCACTGACCAAAATACGTATAGTCTGATGTCCATCTGCCTCGGCCGCCCAATGGCCACTGACGAAGCCGACTGCTGCTGCGACCTTCCCTTCGACATCTCCAACGAAGATCTCGAGCACGGGATCCCACCAGCGCCATCAATCAACAGCCACCTATCATCGACCTCATCCCCAATGACCGGTTTCCTAGCACTTACGCGACTTTGCCGAATTGCGGCGCGCGTGCACAGATTCTACAGTTCCAATCGAATCCGCGGCCGTGATTCTACACTCTCTGACGACTGGACCCATCTCCTTCCAACACTCGACGGCTTCGTCCGCGAATTAGACGAGTGGTTGCAGAAGCTGCCCAATGAGATCCGCTTCTCTGCAAACTTGACGCAGAGCGGGCCGAATCTGACGATGTGTGTTATTGTCTTTATATTGCATTCGGGAACGATTATGAATCTCTATCGGTTTGTCTTACCTTGCCTTAACTTGAGGTACGCTTCCCCTACTAACCACATTTATGGCTGGATACAGACCCCTTGCAGCCCACTACTCCCCAACTACAACGTCCCCTTCGTCTCTCCTCCACACCCTCTCCCCAACCCTTGCAAACCCCTCTGCCGAATGCATCAACGCCGCCCGCAGCTGCATCCAGGCCGCCGAACTGATCCGCGAGCGAGTCCCGCCGTCACATTACCTGGCCTTCTGCGTGCAATATCTCACCATATCCGGTATCTTGCTCCTCAGCATGACGGAGGACGAGAAATCACCGGCCTTGCTTCCGGACGTAAAGAATGCATTGACGTTCCTGGGTGACCTCGAGGCGATCTGGCCCGGTGCTAGTCGGAGCCGGTTGATTCTCGATCGATTGTTGCAGAGTCCGCGGCCACGAGCGAGGAATGATATAAACGGTATCGGTGAGGATGTGGGCGAAGGCGAACCTGCACATGATATATATGGTAATGCTGGGTGGTTCCCGTCGTTGCCCGTACTTGATGATTTGTTGTGGGAGCAGTTTCCGGACTCGAGCGAGGTGTTCCTGGGATTGAATAACTTCCCTAACTGACCTTACTACCTGCTTACTTGATTCCTGAACAAACATCACATGTCCATTGAAAGCACGCCAGTATATACAGTCCATATAACCCCCGCCACCCTCTGCACGCTGGAAGCCTACTCCTGATTCATAATAACAATCTTGATCCCCCTCCTCTCAAACTGCGCCTGAAACGCCTCCTGCACCCTCGTCAACGGAAACGTCTCGGTAATCAACGGCTTCAAATCTACCCTCTTGCTCTGCACCAAATCAATCGCCTCAGCATAGCACCCCGGCGTAAACCGCACCGTCCCCTTAAGCGTCAGCTCATTCGCCGTGAGCAAGAAAAGAGGAACGCTCGTAAGCTGCTTCCCCAGCCCAGCCTGGATACACGTGCCGCCCGGCTTGAGGATCGTAAGCGCCATTTGCGCGGATGACTCGGCGCCGCTGGCTTCGATGGAGATGTCGACCCCGTGGCTGAGATTGTGCTCTTGCTTCACGGAGGATGTAAACTCTGTTGCAAACTTCAGGGGCTCGATGTTCTCTGTGTTTTTCGGCGAGAGGATCCCGATGTCTGCGCCGTAGGAGAGCGCGAAGTCGAGGCGGGATTGCTCGATGTCGAAGACTAGGATGTTGCGGACGCCGTAGGCTTTTGCGATAGCGATGACGAGGAGGCCGAGGGGGCCGCAGCCACTATCCAGAAAGTCCCATTAGCGGGTCTGAATTGTATGGATGGGACGTGGAGGCACCGGGGCGTACAATATAGCCACCGTCTTGCTGGCACTCAGCGCCGCCCGTCTGGCGAGCTGCACCGCAATCGCGAGAGGCTGGATGGCGCCAGCTTCTTCCCAAGAGACACTTTCGGGAATGGGCACTGCCATGTGTGCTTTGCAGGTGAAGTACTGCTGCAGCGTGCCGTCCGTGGGATCGAGGCCGCAGTATTTGAGATCCGCGCAGGTATTCTGGTTGCCGCGGCGGCAGAACTCGCATCTAACCTGTTAGCTACGAAACATCTAAAATGCAAAGGTGTGGACGCACGTGGAACACGCAAACCCCGGCTCAACGGCAACACGCTGCCCGACCTGTCGGTCTTTCACCGCGGCGCCGACTTCCACGATCACGCCTGCGGACTCGTGGCCGAGAATTAGCTGCTTTGAGACATTGGGGTTGTTCCAGTTGTGGGCGTCCGAGCCGCAGATTCCGGTTGAGATGATTTGGACGAGGACGTCGTTGGGTCCGGGGGGTGTGATGGGGCGCTCTTGGACGGCGAGGGTGCGGTGCGAGACCCAGACGGCGGCGCGGTTGGTGGGCATTTTAGCTAATGGTACTAGCAGAATTAAGATGAATAAGGACTTGGGATGGGTGAGTCTACGGAGTAGGTATGGTTTTGTCTTATAGTTCGAGGCGCATCGGGTCTCGGGCCGGAGCGTTGATTAGGGCTATCTCTACCGTATCTCTATACATCACAGTACGGTATACAGCCATATCTCCCTCCCTATACCTCCAGTAATATTAGACATTCTACTTCTGAGACTCACTCTCCTCAATCAGCCCCTTCAACCTCTCCATCTCACCCCCCATCCAAGCCCCAACAGCCACAATATCCGCACCACAATTCACAAAGTCAAACCCCTGCCTCCACCTCCTGGCCGCCTCCTCCGCCCCCAACGCAAAATGCCCCGCATACTTCCCCTTGTCCTTCGCTGCCCTCAAAACCCGCGCGATCGCCTCCTGAACCTCCGGGATACGCGGGTGCTCAAAGGCCACATGCCCCATCGAACTGGCCAAATCATTCGGCCCAACAAACAGCATATCGACCCCCTCCACCCCCGCAATCTCCTCGCAGTTCTCCACAGCCGTCCGACTCTCAATCTGCACGATCACAACGATGTTCTCGTTCGCGCTCGTCAGGTACTCCCGCGGGCTCTGGTTGAATGCGCTGTGCGCGAACATGGCGCCTGCGCCGCGGATCCCTGTTGGTGGGTACTTGCACCCTGCGACGATGGAGCGCGCTTGCGCGGCGGTCTCGCACATGGGGACCATGATCCCGTGGGCGCCGGCGTCGAGCGCGCGCTTCATCATCCAGGGTTCTGAGGCGGGGATGCGCACGATGGGTGAACAGTTTGCGCTGGCGACGGCGGCCACTTGCAGGTGCATGTCGGTGTCGGAGATGGCGCCGTGCTCGCAGTCTATTAGGACCCACTGGGCTTTATCAGTAAGTGCTTTGAGAATGACGGTGCCCAGATTGAGATAAGATAGGGTAGTGTAGGCGACGTACGTCTTCACCTAGGGATGCGACCGTTCTGGCGAGCTGGTAGCCTGGGAATTCGAGCCATTGGCCGACGGAGGGGGCTTCGCGGGCGACGGCGCGAGCAAGGGAGGTTTGGAGGCGGGTTTTTGTGGCCATTTTGTGGTGTAGGACGTAGCTGTAAAGACAGTGATGGGAAGTTGAAGGGAATGGCTGGAGCTCGATTGCTTAATGTACACTGGGCCGGCCGGAGCTCGTCCGGGGCCGTTGGAGGTGTAGGAGATTCGATTTCATACAGATATTGGTACGTTCTCGTCAGCGGTTATCTGAGTGTCTTGTATAGGTTCGGTTGGTCTTTACTCTTGCGGCTCCAATGCATGTAGAGTAGTGGCTAACATGGTTGTTATATAGCCAATCTGTACACTAGTAAGATGAACAGCATATATGCATGATGCTTAGACTCACCTATACTGCTTGTAACTCAAATCCGGTGGCATGAAGGGCGAAAACAAGTGAAGATAAGGTAGAGTATAGTCCATGGAAAAATCCTAAAATTACACGAAACAGACAAAATGCTATGCTACAATGAGTCCCAAAGCCAAACCCTCGCACACAGAGCCTTTTATCACCCTTGACTCAGCTTCGCAGCCTCTCCCTTTGCCGCTGCCAACATCCTCTCGTGATCCAGCTTCGCCTGTCGCATGGCAGCAATACGCGCTCGGTCCTTGACGGACTTCTGTGCTTCCTGTTCGATCTTCTGCAGTTCTTCCTGTTCTTTCTCAGTCGCGGCCACCTCCTGTGCCCCCGTCATGTTCTTCACTTTCATCCAGATATCGGTGTAGTTGAGGTTGCGGACATCAACGGTAGCCGTCTTCTCCGTCGCAGAGGGTGCGGGCGCATGCTCGTCCTTGTCCGCGGTGTTCAGCGACGCAGCTTTGCTGAGCTTCTCTGCAAAGTATACCGTCAAAGAGGCGGGTCCTTCCTGGTTTTCGGTCTGCTTCACGGTCATAGGGACACCCGGGTTGTGGTACTTGAGTCGGGTGAGGCAATTCCGCCAGAAATGCCGCGCTCCTTGGTGTCCGCCGTAGATCTTGCGAGCATATGTGAGGTGTAGGCGTGTGACGGCTGGGTATTCGGGGGTTGCGGTAGCGGCGGAGGGAAAGATTGCGGCGCCTGTTCCGACACGGACATTGAGGACCTGCGTGGGTTAGCGGTGGTCTAGGGACTTTGGTCGATTGTGACAGATTTCGATCCGGTAGTTGAATGGCAAGATTTCAAGGCGAATGAATATGATTCGGGGAGAATTACCCTCTGGAGAAACACGTTAGCAGTTGAAACTTGATTGGGATAAAGGACGTACAGTTTTCAGCTTCCGCAGACGCTTCATAAGGTTCGGCATGATGGCGGATTTTGCGCGTACACGCGATACGCTCTCTCTGAAGGACTAAAAGAGAGGTATAGACCGAGAAACCGGGCTGAACGTGTGCAATTGATGATCTCGACTCCGTCGAAAGATTGTCGGCGAAAAGAAACGGCTCCGATAACCGCACGTGACACAGAGCGGTGGTGCCACGAAGAGAAGGCGGTGAGTGACTCCGCGTCCCACATAATCTTTTCGCGGCCTTTGATCGGGCTGACCCCGCGGTCTGGAAAACAATCATTCCTGACTCATTTCTGCCTCACTTGCCTCTTGGCTGATCTATACAGTTTGCAATTAGCAGACTACACAGAGAGCCATGGCCGCCGCCGCTGCGTCCGCAGCTGCGCTCGATCCGGGCAACAGCTCCAAGAACACCCTCAAGCTTGAAAACGTCTGCCCCTCCATGCCCTAATTCTTTGTACGAGCTAATTTTGGATCTATACAGACCGAGAAAAGAGATGCCCTTATCGCCATCGAGAAGAAGTACCAGGCGCAATGGAAGGAAAACAAGGTCTTTGAAGTCGACGCCCCCTCTCTGTCCGAGGTTCCTGCCGGCAGCATGACCGCCGACGAGCTCCGTGAGAAGTACCCCAAGTTCTTCGGCACCATGGCCTACCCATACATGAACGGTACCCTGCACGCCGGACACAGTTTCACCGCCAGTAAAGTCGAGTTCATGGCCGCCACCGCCCGTATGGAGGGAAAGAGGGCTCTGTTCCCCCTTGGTTTCCACTGCACCGGTATGCCCATCAAGGCCTGTGCTGATAAGCTTGCCGATGAGGTTAAGAAGTTTGGACAGAACTTTGAAGGCTACAAGGATGAGGATGAGGAAACCTCCGCCGTCGCTGCCCCTACCCAGGAGGTTAAGGGCGAGCAGCAGGAGAAGTTCTCCGGAAAGAAGAGCAAGGCCGCCGCCAAGACCGTGAAGATGAAGTACCAATTCCAGATCATGCTTGCTATTGGCATTCCCATCGAGGAGATCCACAAGTTTGCGGATGCCAACTACTGGCTCGAACACTTCCCTCCCCTTGCCATCCGTGACCTTGACAGCCTCGGTGCGGGTATCGACTGGCGCCGACAGATGGTCACCACTGATGCCAACCCTTACTACGACGCCTTTGTGCGCTGGCAGATGAACCGTCTGTACGAACTCGGCAAGATTCAGTACGGTAACCGATACACCATTTACTCTCCCAAGGACGGCCAGCCTTGCATGGACCACGACCGAACCGAGGGTGAGGGTGTTGGACCCCAGGAATACACCGCTATGAAGCTGAAGGTCAAGGAGTGGGCACCCCAAATTGCAGAGCTCGTCAAGGGCAAGATCGAGGATGACGCCAATGTGTACTTCATCCCCGCTACCCTGCGTCCTGAGACCATGTACGGTCAGAACTGCTGCTTCCTCGGCCCCAAGATTGAGTACGGTATCTTCAGGGTCAAGGAGAAGGAGTACTATATCTGCACCAAGCGCGGTGCTTGGAACATGGCTTTCCAGGGCACCTTCTTTGACGAGAAGAACTTCCCCAAGACCCAGGACCAGCTGCCCACCGTTCTGACGGCTCCGGGTTCCGCATTCGTTGGTACCCTCATCAACGCGCCCCTGTCATTCCACAAGGAGGGTGTGCGCATTCTTCCCATGGAGGGCGTTTCTGCTACCAAGGGTACTGGTGTCGTCACTTGCGTGCCATCGGATTCCCCCGACGACTACGCCACTCTGCTTGACCTCGCCAAGAAGCCTGAGTACTACGGCATCCAGAAGGAATGGGCCGAATTAGAGATCTTCCCTCTCATTGAGACGCCCACTTACGGTAATCTCACCGCGCCCGCGCTTGTGAAGCAGCTCAAGATCAACTCCCCTAAGGATGTCAACCAGCTCGCCCAGGCCAAGGAACTGGCCTATGGTGAAGCCTTCTACAAGGGCACTATGATTGTTGGAGAGTTCAAGGGTGAGCCAGTCAGCGCTGCCAAGGACAAGATTCGCAAGTCTCTCTACGACAGCGGCGATGCTTTCGCCTTCGCCGACCCCATGGGTAAGGTTGTCAGCCGAAGTGGAGACGACTGTGTCGTTGCCTACCTTGGACAATGGTTCTTGAACTACGGTGAGAACGATAAGGAGTGGCAGGAGACCACCCTCAACCACGTCGTGAACACCCTCAACACATATTCTAGCGAGACGAGGAACGGTTTCGAGAAGAACCTCGACTGGCTGAACCGCTGGGCGTGCGCCAGAACGTACGGTCTCGGCTCGAAGCTCCCCTGGGACCAGAAGTTCCTTGTCGAGAGTCTGAGTGACAGTACGATCTACATGGCCTACTACACCATTGCACACCTCTTGCACGGCGACCGCTACGGTAAGACGGTTGGTAAACTCAACATCAAGGCAGAGCAGATGATCGACGAGGTTTGGGATTACATTTTCTGCAGGCGCGAGATCAGCGATGAGCTCGTGTCGAAGAGCGGACTTGGCAAGGACGACCTTCAGGCTATGCGAAGAGAGTTCGAATACTGGTACCCCATGGACGTCCGAGTGTCCGGAAAGGATCTCATCCAGAACCACTTGACTTTCTTCCTTTACATCCACGTTGCTCTCTTCCCCCCACAATACTGGCCTCGCGGTGTTCGCGCCAACGGACACTTGCTTCTGAACGGTGACAAGATGAGCAAGAGTACCGGAAACTTCCTGACTCTGAAGGACTCTGTTGACAAGTTCGGTGCTGATGCTACTCGCATTGCCTTTGCTGACGCTGGTGATGGAATTGAGGACGCCAACTTCGAGGAGAGCGTTGCCAACAGCAACATCCTGCGTCTCTTCACCCTCAAGGAGTGGATCGAGGAGGTTGTCAAGGATGAGAGCCTTCGAACCGGACCTGCAGACCACTTCTGGGACAAGGTCTTCGACAACGAGCTCAATACTCTTGTTCGCGAGGGCAAGAAGAACTACCAAGAGTGAGTGAATCAGCCACCTCACCTATATTACAATCGCTAACATGCTCTAGTACCAACTTCAAGCTTGCCCTGAAGTCCAGTCTGTACGACTTGGTCGGTGCCCGTGACGCCTACCGTGAGGCTGCCACCTCCGCCGGCATTGGAATGCACCGCGATGTGGTCCTGCGCTACGTTGAGCTCCAGGCACTGATGATGTCGCCCATCGCGCCTCACTGGTCCGAGTACATCTGGCTCGAAATCCTGAACAAGGTATGACTGTAGACACTTGCGATGCGATTTCAGTTCTAACTTGTACAGCCTGACACCATCCACCGCGCTCTGTTCCCCGAGGTCGCGGAGCCTTCAGCCGAGCTCTCAGCAGCCAACAACTACGTCCGCGCGACCTCCTCCAGCATTCTGTCCGCGGAAGCCACCTTCGTCAAGAAGCTCGCCAAGGGCAAGGCCCAGAGCTTCGACCCCCGCAAGCCCAAGAAGATCACCATCTTCGCCGCGAAGAAGTTCCCCTCATGGCAGGAGAAGTACATTGACCTCGTCCGCGAGGCCTTTGACGCCGTCTCCCTGTCCATCAACGACAAGGAGCTGAACGCCAAGGTCGGCAAGCTCGGTGAGATGAAGAAGGCCATGCCCTTCGTCCAGGGTCTCAAGAAGCGCCTCATTGGCACCAAGGAGGCCCCCGAGATCGTGTTCGAGCGCAAGCTGCCCTTCGATGAGTTCGCTGTTCTCAAGGAGATGTCAGTGAACCTGAAGAAGACGACGGGTGCCAAGGAGATTGAGGTCGTTGCTGTTGACGAGGGCGGCAAGACCGGTGAGATCCTGGGCTCCGGTGAGAAGAGGGAAGGTCTCCAGGCTGAGAATGCTGTTCCTGGCCAGCCGACATTCAGCTTTGTCAACGTTGAGTAAGTATTATACATCTAGATATCTAGATATGCAGATTACATTCAAGCGCAATCAAAAGACATTATGACGACTGTTGATGGGAGCTACTCTAGAGTAGAACGCGACCTGAGTCGGGAAGCTTGACAGGGCGTCGCTTCCAAAGTGACCGACCTACTTACTTCTTCTAGTAACACTCAACAATGCTCAGCTCCAACCCAACCTTCACTTCACTCGTCCACTTACTCCCATCTTCCTCCTATCATCTCCCTACTCTCATCTACTCTCATGCACTCGCCTACTCTTCTAAAAACGCATCCAGACATCAACACTACAACACCAATCACCAACATGTCTCTCACGTCACTCCCCTGCGAACTTATACTCTGCATCGCAGAATACCTAGCACCACAAGATCTCAATCACTTCGTCCGCACAGACGGAAAATACTACCGATTCCTCAACACACGCCTCTACCAGCAGAACTTTTCCATTGCACTAGCATGGGCTATCTGTGCCGACTTTCTGCCCACCCTCCGGAAATGCGTTGATCTTGGAGCTGACATTCAATCGGCTTCACTGACACCTTTTGGCTATATCCCAAACTCAAACGACAGAGGTCTCATAACTCCTTTTGAACTTGCTGTGAAGTGTCACAGCGATGATATGGCAGCGTTCCTGCTTGAGCAAGGAGCTAGCCCGAGATCTTTTGATTGGGAGATGTCAATATTCACCATGAAGCTTTTACCGCAAACATTCGCGGCGCGCTTCTCAATGCCGAAAAACCTGGATTTTGAGATGCCAATAATCGACACGAAGCTTTTGCCGAAAACCTTCATGGCGCTCTTCGATCGTGGTCTATTTTCTAGATGCAAAGACAAGGACCGAGGGGCAGCCTGGGCTCTACAGCAGATGGTCCAGTTCGGGTGCGAGACGGGAGCAAGAATGCTTCTTGAGCGCACCGACCTTGCGATCGATATTGACCGTGTCCGTATCAGAGACCCCCCGTATACCGGTGCCTCAGCCCTGACCATCGCCGCACGTTATGGCGACGTTAAACTCGTGCAGCTCCTGCTTGAACACGGCGCATCAGTCGACCTCAGAGGTAATGATGGAGAGACGCCTCTACTGGCGCACCTTGGCGCTGGACTTGTTCCCAATCCAAGTGAACAAATTGTCAAGCTTCTTGTTGAGGCTGGAGCAGACGTCAACGCTAGAGACTGCCTTGGGCGTACGCCGCTGTGGAATGTGGCTGGCAATACGCAGACCTTAATATGGGATTATCTGTTGGAGCACGGAGGCGATGCGGAGATACACGATGAAGACGGTATAAGTGCCACGATGCGAGTCAGATATTTCAAGTTCCTCGATGAGTATCAGACCTAGAGCCCTTTTATGAGAGGAGAAACCCGGAGATGAGTTTGGTCTATAATTCTATCGCCATGATCTTCCACTGCATCTATACTCATCTCCAGTCAATTCAAGTGCATTAGTACTGGGTTTTGCCGCCAGCTGCCATGAGGTCTAGACTAGGACCTGCTTTGATCTGCGGCCCATGGCCGTTTGGGAAGGAGGAGGGCGGGGGGTAAAGGGGGTGCTGCTTTCCTTCCTTCTGGTGACAGCTGTAGTTATATTTCAGTTCCTCCAATATTCATTCAATATTCAGGCCTCAATATGTCCATGCCCACCATCTCCATCGAGCTCATTCTCTACATCGCCGACCAAATAGACTCACCCAAGACCCTTAACTCCTTTGCGCGCACGAACAGCACATTCTACCAGACTCTCAACCCGCTCCTCTAGCGAGGCAATATCCGCAAGGCGCTAACCTAGGCTATTCGTACCAATTTCGAGCCCAGTCTCCAGAATGCCTCGACTACGGCGCCGACCTCAATTCCCCAGCCAGTACTACCGACGGCATAAAACCTCTGAATAAAGCCATGCATCTGCGCAACGATGAAGCCGCCTTGCTTCTTCTAAGACGAGGCGCTGATCCAGCATCCATCCATCTCGAAACGCTACGAGCCCTCGTGAACGATCTGCCCAGAACCTTTATCAAGCTCCTTGAGATGGGCATGTACAAAGACGAACACGTATATGGCTACAACGCGGCCTTGCACCTCGCGGCCTCCCATGGAGCGGAGGAGTTGATGAAGATACTGCTTCAACGCACCGACATCGATGTTGATCATGTCCTCGTCTCCAATTCAACCGAAGGATCGCCCCTCTGCGTAGCCGCTCTTCGAGGACACGTCAAGGTCGTACAACTGCTACTTTACCAGGGCGCAACGGTCGATATCAGAGATGGTGCCAAGGGTGACGGTCAAACGCCTCTCATGCTGAATCTTGGCTCCATACTCTGGTACAGGAATGAGCGGATCATCAAGGCTCTGGTTGACGCTGGGGCAGACGTTAGTGCTAGGGATGAACTGGGCCAGACGCCGCTGATGTACCTATGCGGCTATGAATACGCGGAGTCCATATGAGGTCCTGTTGGGTCAGGGTGCGGATCCGGAAATGGTGGATAACAGAGGGAATGAATAGAGGGTTTGTAGTTGATGAGGATGAGAGTCCGTATGGGAGGGAGAAGGAGCCGTTTGAATTTTATATGCGGTGACACCCCCCTTCATGGTCCTGTTGTCAATGCAGTACCAGCTTGATCTCGGTCCGCTCAACTCAGTAGACTGGATGTGTCTTAAGCTATGCCGAGGTTTTGTGATGAAGCAGGATCTCGGAGTTGAAACCTTGCACGAAAAAGGACAGAAAGAATATCCTTCTCCTATCTTCATGTTAATAAAGCTTTTTTTGTCCGGCCAACAGTTCCAAGGTTGTATCATACAAACGACAGCACTGATGTTCACGTACGCTATATGATGTATGCTGGAATTCCCACCCCATCACCAGACATATCCATGTGGAGATGATCTCATTCCTATATTAAGCCTCAATATACTCTCCCTGTCAGATTCCAAATTCCGATACGTCGACAATCCTCCGATTCGACGCCAGAAATGTTGATCGCTTCTCGCGATACTATGACCTCGCCAGTGACGTCAGAGGCGACAACCCCAAGCGAAGTATATAAACCTCGCGATCAACACCTCTCCGTCTGTCTTCCATCAAACATACATCTGTCCATATTGATTACTACATCCCACTACCTGCCAAACAAACAGTACAAAACAAGAATCACAAACCAACCTCCACATCTTTTAACATAACCAAAACACCCAAAATGCCCACCAACAACTGGAACACCACCTCCGGCTCCAACGAATCCGGCGTAACGGGCGCCGCCAAATTCCTCACTTCCACACTGGGCAACACCGTCGGCGGTGTGTCAAAGACAGTTGGGGGCGTGACGGGCGCCGCAACGCGCGGGCTCGGCGATACGGTGAACAGTGCTGCCGGCAGCACGGGACGGCCTGTGGGCGATGCACTGGGGAATGTCGGGACGGGGCTTGAGGATGGGCTGAGGAAGGTTGGGAAGGGGGTTGAGGATGCGGGGCAGTGGAAGTGATTTTCTTACATGCCTTTGTCTTCTTTCTGCTTTTTGGGATTCTGGGATCAATATCTTATGTTGTTTAATGATGGGCTTATGATTGGGGTACTGTATTGGTACTGGCGGTGAAATTGATCTATTGATGAATTGACATCTATTTCGTTTGATGGCCTAAGTCTAATGTTTTAACGGTCTTGATAAGCCTATCGTCATGTTAGTCGATGACTGCATGGAAAGTACAGATCTGTTCGGTACGAGTAAAAACATACCTCCGTAGCCCTTCCCTTAAAGTATCCTCATCATGCGAAAAGACAAGTCTGAACCACCCCGGCTCCTTCCCATGCTCCTCGCCCGGATGTAAGAAGAGCCCATTATCAAGGAGTTTCTGGGCGAGTGCGAATTCGCGTTCTCGGGACTGTAGTGAGCTATCCTTGGTGAGTGAAAGGTATGGCGAGAGGTCGATATAAAGGAAGAAGCCAGCATTTCTGTACATGAAATCACATTAATCATTCCATTCCGTAGTATTCTTCGTTGCGATGCTGCTTGCTCACCCTCCCTTGACGTAATTGATTCCCTTTTTATCAAGGATCGAAGTAGCTATCCGGTACGAATAGGCAAGATCCCGTCGAGACTTCTCTGTGAATCTGGATACGAAGTCCTCGTCTTGAAAAATTGTAGCACCTATCGTCTCAGCCGCTGAGGACGGGCTGTGGAATCTCCTGGTTTTGATGATTGTATATCAGCTCTACCTGATTATCAGGATGGATTGGACTTATTTGGGACATGAAATGTACTTACAGCATCGCCGAGCAAGCTCGACGGAGCTCGACGTTCTGGGAGATTATGAAGCCGATATGGAGGCCGCCAGATGCAAAGTCCTGCACTTGTTATTAGGGCTTTTCTTGACACCTTGGACTCTTGCTAGGAGGTCGACGATATTCCCGGGCACTCACCTTGCTGAACCCATACAGTACATGCACGAAATTTGGATCTATAATATCCGGCGTAGCAAGCGAAAGCACAGACGAAAACGGGACTGCCTCGGGGTTCCCAGACTCGAATACACACAGTGCATAGATCTCATCACTGATCAGATGGAGCCGGTGTCTGTTGCAGAACTTCATGATCTCAATGAGCGTTGCTGGCGGATAGCAGCGGCCTAGGCCCTGTCAGTAACGCATACTTCTCAAACAAAGGCATGGGCATGGGAGTAGAGATAAACATACCAACAGGATTATGCGGATTCACAACGACAACCGCCCTCACTCTTAACCCCCTCTCCTGCGCCGTATTCAGCGCCTCCTCATACCTCTCTACACAACCCACCCCAAACGCCTCATCGACATCCGTATCCGCATAGACAACCTCAACGCCCCCCTGCACCCCATAATCGAGCTCGAACCGCCCATACACTGGCTTACTTACCAGGACGGCATCGCCGGGCTCCGCAAGCGCAAAGGACAGCATGTTCCCTGCCGCCGAGCAGCCGTTGGTCTTGACGATCATGTCGGGCGTTACGGGGCAAAGCGGGTTGAAATATTTATTTATGTGGGATGCTGCGGCTGCAGGGAGGGGGTTGGAGGTTGCCATTGAGGGGTAGCAGATAGAGTCCGTGGTGAATTTTACCTGGGGGGAGGATGTTAGTGGAGTATGCTTGATCTGGAGGGATGATGGCGGACATTGTTGTTGATATACTCGGCTACTTCGGTGCGGACGGGGCCCTGCGCACAGTTAACACGGGCTCGAGAGAACATTGGGAGTTCGCTGTACGTGTTCGGCCATCCCGAAGCAAATGATGCCTTCGGGATTGGTTTCCTTGTTGTAGGTTGGGGCGACGGCGAAACGCCAGGGAATGTCGAAGGAGTCTGCGTTCTTTTTACCGCGGGAGGAGAGCATGATTGTAAATATATATATGATATACAGAAAGAAGTGGTTGATGGTACGAAATGAAGGAAGGTGAAGAAAGAAGATGAGAGCATAGGACCCTGCGAGCGAGCAGATCAGCATACCCCACCAAGTTTAAGCTATAGATGACTTTAATATTGCCCCTTTGGATTTGCAGTCAAAAGTAAGCGCTTTCACGAGCTTGCTGACCACATCGTGAAGTGTCCACGACCGTGCCCTAACTCTCCATGGATCTATAGCAGCAGTTACATATATTCCTGGAGAGAAAGTCATCAAGCTCAAACTGGGCTCTGGAGATAGCATGAGGTGCGTAGGCCGGGGTCGGATGAGAGGGCCGGGCTGGGACTAAGAATGAGCTTAAATTGCTTCAACCGACGAGATCTCCTCTTTAGTGACTATGTACATGATATACAGGATATGATACGAGTAAATATAGTAATTGGTTGATGAATAGGATTGATGAAAGCATAGGATAGTAAGGAGGCACAGACTTTAGTCGTAGGAGAATTGAATACTAAACCGGAGATGGTATCGAAGAAACAAGGTGAGTGACTGACTTGTTTGCTAAGCTTCTGAGAGATGCAGGGAGATAAAACATGCCCAACCGATATCATATAATATAATCACAGACACAAGGAAAGAAGATGATAACGAGGGGGTTTGATGAAAGGAAACAGAGAGAAAAGTGGTATCTGGACACCGTAGAGTCGAATGTGCGGACGAAACAAAAAACAGACAGGAAAGAAAGAATTAACTAAACAAGCGTCTCATGACCGGCCAACCATCTCACAAATCAATCAGGCTGCCACCCTGTTGCGGCTGCTGGTGGCCTCCCCAAGGGTTACTGGGCTGCTGAAGATAGCCGGTCTGCTGCGGCACGAATTGCTGCTGTTGGGCATAGAACGGGTTGTTCCCGGTGTGCGTGGCCCTTAATCGGTCCAAGCCCTGGCCCGCGGAGTTGACAAAGGTGCCAGGCGCTGTGTGCTGCGCGGGGATGCGCAGGTCACCGGTGTTGCCGAATGTGTCTTGGCCCTCGCCGGTGGCCAAAAGAGCGTTCAAACGAGCAGCGTGAGGGTCCATCTGGGGCGCGGGTTTAGGCGGCGCCAAAGTCTGCGTCTGCTGAGGTGATTGAGGTGCTTGGTAGTTCGCAATGGGGTTCGGCGAGGACGAGAATTGGTTGGAGAACTGGTTTGAGAATTGGTTCGTCGCTCGGTTCTCTGACAGGGTGTTGAGGGACGGAGCGCCCGACGTAGAGGGCCTTGGGGCTTGGTGGAACTGCGTACGAGCGGCGAATGGGTTGTTGGAGCCAGTCGGCATGGGTTTCAGAGCCTCAGGCTGGTTGTTAGCCCATGGGTTGTTGGAGCCTGGTGATAGCATGCCATCCTGCTGTGGCGCTTGCTGCTGCTGCTGCTGTTGACCAAACATATCCGTGCCCCAAGGGTTGTTGGCACTAAAACCGGTCTGCTGAGGTTGGAGGGTAGCCTGAGGTTGCAGAAAGTTGTTCTGAGCATAAGGGTTCTGGCTGTAACCTGTGGGCTGCGGCTGGAAACCGTTAGAATATCCGTTCATGCCGGTAGCCTGTCCCTGGAATCCGGTCGCGTTCGCATATTGGTTGTTGAGGTATCCAGTCGTCAGCGGTTGCTGAGCGTTGATCGGGTTGCCGAACCAGTCGACCGCGCTCTGCTGCTGATAACCCTGGTTGAAGCCGGTGGGCTGCGGCTGGGCCGCAGGTTTACTATCGTCAAACAGAGACTGGGCGTTGGCTTCCTCCAGCTCGCGCCTGCGCAATTCTTCCTCTTCCTTGCTAAGCTTGATCGCCTTAGCCAGGTCCTCGTCGTTATCTTCTCCGTTGCCCTGAGACTGCGCTCGTCGCCTGCGCTCTTCTTCCGCCTCGTATTTGCTTGCTTCGATTGCCAAGCGGTACTCCGCATCCTCGTCATCGCGCCGACGGTCCCGTCGCTCTCTTCGTTGTGGCGGCACACCATTTCCGTGGCCACCATGGTGGTCATCGAGACCGCTTACCCGGGACTTCCAGAGCTTGCGGTCGGATCGTTCACTGCGCAGTCGGTCTTCATCCAAGATAAGGGCGGTAAGTTCCTTGGCAGCAACACGGACTAAACAGACAACACATTAGTCGACGGCTCGCGCGGAGAATGTAAACGCATATCCACTCACCATCCTGACCAACATCTCTGCTGTCTTCGTCGATGTACTGGAACTCGCGCAGGGTCTTGATGATGTACACGTTCTTCCGGGCCCATGTGACGACGAGTTCAGAACCTTCGTGGAGACAGTAGTCGAGTACCTTCAACGACTTCAGCACGTGGCGCCAGTTCTTGCCCTTATCGTTCAGCCGCTTGTCTAACATATCCATGATCTCGTAGAAGTCTGTCGGGCTGTGACGTAGTTAGCACCAGGAGTGTCATGCCATTGCGGTCTTGAAAAGCCTACCTGCCAAATGTCAGAGAGGCGATTTCTGCCATATCGGTCCCGGTCGGGCCCCAATGGTCATTACTCGTCGCTACGAACGCAAAGTGTCAGCAATCGATCCAACGTCCGACCGGAATCGGTATCCGGTAACCGGATAGACAGGGACCTACCATTTCGGACTTTCACCTGAACGGCGGAGTAACCCTTGGTGACGTTTTTCACGCTGCGCACGACTTTCGACATTGTGACGGTGTAGTGTGTGGGAGGGGTAGTTGAAGTAGAGAGGTGGGTTCACAGAAGACGGGGGGCGCGCAGGAATCCGGAGACGGAGATTGAGGCTCGCCGGTCACAACTCGAGATCGAGTGAGTGGTAAAGAGCGTTTGGTGGTAGGTGCGAATGAATTCAGAAAGAGAGGCGGTTGGAGCAGAGCCAGTCCGTCTCCCGAGGTCGTGGATGGAGGTGGTGAGAGAGTGTGTGTGGGAGTTGTGTTGGGCGAGGGAGATGACGGTTGGTCTCGTCGTCAGTCTAGTTCTGTTAGCCCACGGCGGCAGTGGCAGTGGCAGTGGCGTATGTAAGCCGCGTTCGGAATAATGCTATCTCTTCTCCTCCAAAGCGAAGAGGGGTATCCTAAATGGGCGAAGATGAAGCCGGTAGAGATGTAGAACTAATCGCCCAAGACGCAAGGAGCCGGAAAAGCACGTTGAAGGCTGATTTCTTCTTCCAAAGTCAGTTGGTGTGGGTGTGGCGCAAGGCTGACGACGCTTCTAAGAGAAGAAGGTTGCCCAGGAGGTCACCAGCATACAAAGACCACAACAGTAAGTGGAATTTTGCCGCAGATGCAAATAAGACCAAATCATCGATCAAGAAGGTCGGCGACAGTCAATGGTCGATGGACAATGGCAGGATGCGCCGGGAGGGGTTTGAATGTTAATGCCTAACGGCTGCCACTGCCGAGCTTTACGGAGTACTTAGCAGTCTCCAGTATACGACGCTGATGTTACCTACTTTCTACGAATACGCGATATCTAGCTGCTTGGCTGCGGTCAGGATACCCTGCACGGCGCTTATGGCCCAGGGTGTTGTCCACGGTGTTCGTCTTGCTGTGGCGGTGCAACTGCATTGCTGTCTGATGACGTCTGATGGAAGCTCTACAGAATGTTCCTGGTCAAGTTGGAGTAACAATAAACAAGGTCATGTTCTATTAAGCCGTCATTCATATCCAATTTATCACGCCCGACAAGTCTGTATATCCAAGGACAGATACTCTCTAGTTTTTACTCTCCATGCTGAGATATTTTTCCTCCGCTCCCTTGATACAAGCAATGTTCGCACCCAGCTTGTTCAAAGTCTCCACATACTCGTCGTAAGGGTCTGAATCAAAGACGATGCCACCACCCGCTTGCAGATACGCGACGCCGTCCTTGACCATCATGGTACGCAGAGCAATACAGGTGTCCATCGCACCAGGAATCTCCTTGGACCCATCAGCGGAGGCAATGTTGTACCCAAAGTAACCGACTGCACCAGCGTAGACGCCTCGCTTCTCGCCCTCCAGTTCCGCAATCAACTGCATGGCTCGCACTTTCGGTGCTCCAGAGACCGTGCCTGCGGGGAAAATGGAGCGGAAGGCGTCAAAGCGGGTCTTCTCGGGTCGCAAAATACCGGAGACTTGTGAGACAAGATGCTGGACGTGGGAGAACTTCTCAACAACCATCAAGCGATCAACTTGGGTAGTCAATGGGTCACAGACGCGGTTGACATCGTTGCGCGCTAGATCCACCAGCATGACGTGCTCTGCGCGATCCTTCAAGCTAGTGCGTAGTTCCTCGGCAAGCGCTTCATCCTCTTCGGCGGTCTTTCCACGCTTGACTGTTCCAGCAATGGGGTGGGTGATGATGCGGCCCTTTTCTTCCTTGGCCAGAAGCTCCGGACTGGCTCCTACTAGCTGGAAGTCTTCGCAGTCAATGTAGAAGAGGTAAGGAGACGGGTTCACAGTGCGGAGATGGCGGAAAAGGTTGAACGGATGAAGAGAGGTCGGGCGAGACAAACGCTGCGATGGGACGGTCTGAAAGATGTCACCCTTGGCAATATGTTCCTTCAGTCGCACGACGTGACGCTCGTAACCTTCGCGCCCGATGTTGGAAGTGTACTCCTGGTTCTGGATAATCGGAGCCTGCGGAGGCAGAGGGGTATCTGGGCGCTGGAGGGTATCGACAATGCGCTGAATGACTGTTTGCCCATGTTTGTAGTTGGCGTCAAGTTCCGCGTCGTCACCGGTAATCGGGATGTAGGTGACGACCTTGACAACTTGGAAGAAATGGTCAAAGGCCACAATCGTGTTGAACAGCATGAAAAGCGACTCCGGAATCTCGAGAACATCCTTGAGTGGACGCGCGGTCTTGGGCTCAAAGTACTTGACGCAGTCGTATCCCACGTAGCCGATCGCACCACCCGTGAGCGGAGGGAGAGTCAATCCGGGTACCGACGCAACGCGGAATTTCGAGAGTTTCTCCTCGAGGATCGGAAGAGGGTCGCTTTCGGGGCCATGGCCAGGACCTGTCTTGAGAACAGTGTGGGGGTCTATGTCGTGTCAGAGCACATTAGCCCGGTCCAGAATCCATCAACGCCGCGCACAGCATCGCGTACCTGCACCAACAAAGCTGTATCTTCCAATAGTTTCCGTTGTCGCAGCACTCTCGTAAAGGAATGACAATTTCGATCTGTCGCGAGTGTATCCAGGTCAGGCTCCTGCAACGCACCGAACCACGATTGAGGGCGACGACTCACTTTTCGGCGAGCTTCAAGTAAGCAAGTGTCGGCGTCAAAAGATCAGCCGGAATAGACGAGGTAAGTGGAAGGAGGTTGGGAGGGAATTCCGAGTTCTTTGACTGGTTGATCGCAGCTTTAGCGGTCTCGAGAGACGGCACAATGGTGATCTGAGTCAGAGGGAGTGTCAGCACGAGTCTTGAGGCGACTAGTTGCAGAGGCCAAGGTAGGATATGAACATATTGGAGGCTAGGAAGAGATACTCACAGGAGGCGCCATATTGTCTGAACTGCCACTAGGGAGTGCGACAAGCGATAAACAACTTTCTGTCGCGTGTGCGGGGATGGAGAAGATGAAATTTGGCGGAGCCCGCGGAGTTTATCAGCGAACCCTTTTACGGAGTACCTACCGGTACTGGATCGAGGCGGCTCACAACGCTGATGTCCAAGCTGCTGGAGCAACTAACTTGCGGAGTTCTTTATACTCCGACGCTAAAAGAAAGCAAAAAAACAGTTGTGATGAGGATGCATTGCTTTGTCGAGTTATGAGTAATGATTCTATACTTCCCCTCTGTTGACCGCTTGGATAAGGGCACTGATAACGAAACTTGCGGTACTAAGAGAAACAATTAATGTTATGGAAAACCATTCTAGTCTCTTGACATTATACTGTTCAAGGAAACAAATTGAAGGCATCGCCTGCTAAAGGAAGGAGCTCCCATGCCGAAGGCCTCGTGACCGTCATATAGACACCCTTAAAACTTCGCTTTCTCAACAGCATCAACCATGCTCCATTTGTTTATATAAGTACTATATCCAATATTCATCCTATGTATGAGTCAAGCACAAACGTTACCAGACAAGCGCTAATCAGACGCAGCGCTATCGTCTAAGCGCAATGGATCCCATCCCTGCGCAAGACGACCTCCCAAGCCCAGTCACAATTATCAGCAAAGCTCTATTGACGGCCAACCAAGGAGCATCAAGCTCCAAAGATATCTCAAGCCCCATCACAGTAGTCCATAGGGCTCTGTCGCCGGACGATGAAGGATTCCCAAGCTACAAAGGCACCGGTATCTCGAACCGCCTCATCCGACTTGCGCGCCTTCCAACACTCCATGGAAACTCCACAGAACCGTTCTCCCTCGATGCGAAGAGGGTAGAGCAGTGCCTAAACAAGCTAGAATCCCTGCTTGACCCACAGTTCAGCCTCTCGCAGTCAGAACTCGCAGAGCCAGACCTCACGCCGACAGACACCCTACCTCATCGGTCACAAAATCGACCTAGCCAAGGTCCGGAGTCTGATCCTGGCGCTGACACCAGTCCGGGACATATTCCTATCGCGCCGAAGAAGTCTGAATCTTTGAGGAGCGCAGCACCAGCTTCAAGCTCCAAGGCTCATCACCAATCGCGTTCTTTAGAAGAGCTTTCGACACCGCTGGCCCGGACGCTGTTCGAGATACCAAAAGTCTACAAGCAGGTGAACATGTTTGGCAACGAGGTGAGGAAGTTGGGCGATGCATTCTTGAAGCGCCGCGAGGAGACGCTCTATATCTATTCGCTGCATGACAGAGAACGCAAACGAATGCGAGGAAGAATTGCCGAACTAGAGGCCGAGATTGAAAAACTGTATGTGGTCATTTCAACCTTACTACTCAACAGAGACTAATCAATTCATTGCCAATCCTAGCCAAGCGGATATGCAGCAGGATATGGCCGCGCGGGAGGCGCTTCAAGGAACCGTTCATGGATTTGAAATTTGGATCGACGGGTGTCGAGATGAGTATCGGTTGACACACAAGAAACCAAAAGAGAACCTCCGGCAAGGCGGAGGAGGATGGTGGTCTAAAAAGAAAGTTGACAAGCCGGATGGTTTCGACGCCGATGCGCTATTCGACGGTATCACGGCGTGGTTGCGAGGCTGGGCCGATGTCGAAGAAGAATTCCGCGATCAAGATAGAGCTCGCAGGCTTAGAAGGAATGGGAAAAACAGGCAGGAAGATGAAACTATAGATAGAGGGTCTTCGGCTATCGACTAATAACTAATCAAGGAAGCCGCTATCCATGGCTTCATATATGTTCCAAATGATAAGGCAAACAACGCCGAACGTGATATTGATACTCCCGATATCATTCATCGATCGTACCTCTCCTCCCATACAGAGCTATAGAATGAAACCAAATCAAATCAAATCATCCACCCGTTTGTCCATATGCTATCCGCAACCCTACCGCGCCTTTCGCCTGATTCCAAGTATTCTGCGCCATTTTGTATCGTCTAACCCAAGCATATATCGAGGTATAAATGTAGTCATAAGATGTTGAATAAGAATGTATAGGTATGAATCCTCCGGATCATATGGTTCGCACAAATCTTCGCTAACCAAGCAAACGAGTCTATGCCGGCGGAAGAAGATCAACGGCATGCTGATGAGGCACCGTCGTTCCGTCTCGAGGGTGAGTAGTGTGCTCTCACTTCAAAAGGGTGCTTTATTGCTCAACAATAAACGCGCTGTTCCTTTAGGCGGCTATTGTGCCGCGCAAGGGGAAATTGTCTGTCGAGGTCTGTGTTGCTTATGCTGCTGACCTTGGTTCAACGCACCGTTAAAGCGGTGCGGCATGTCATCGTTGCAGATTTATGATTGCCAACTGCAGGCACGATTAGCTGCCTACAGAGCTAAAAAGGATTGAGAGTAAACGTACCTTACTGCCAAACCCGAATGCCAACTTCTTCCCGTCTGCGTCCCAAGTTAACGAGCGATCCTGCACTTCTTCTATGTTACCATTGTGCCCGTTCACAGTAGGAACCTCCCCTTCCTCTGGCTCGGCGTGGTGCGCGCTCGGGGACTTCCATGTAGCCATAGCAGTGCCACCACGCTGGGCATTCCAGATTGATAAAGACTCCTTGCTAGCGGCAGCTAGAGCGTACCCGTCGGGCGAGAAACAACTTGCAAGAACAGGCGAGGATTGACCAAGTGACAAACTGTGTATGCAGTCAAATTTCTTATCTTCCAGGTCGATATGCCACAGCTTTACTGTATCGTCGGTGGAGGACGAGGCAAGAATGAGTGGCTGATTAGGTTGCTCGGAGGGGTTGGGTTTGATTTGAATGGCGGTGATATGGCCATCATGAGCATGTTTCAAGTGCATGTCGTGAGTTGGGATCCAAAAAGAGGCGTTGGAAGATGACGCTGCGACAGCCACAGGCGAAGAACCTGCGTTTGCACAGCGAATGAATGTCCAGGGATGATCGGAGTCACCAGAAGAGTAGGTTTTGGAAAGATGAATACTGGATTTGATGTCGCATTGGTATACCGACATACCGCCGCAAGCAAAAGCCTGTGAACTTCCAAGCCAAGTCACGTCAAGTATTGAGTCGTCGACTATTTGCGGAGTAGGGAACTCTTCCGGCCGTAATGAGTCGTCCCAAAGAACGAGTTCCGACAGTTTGCTATCCGAGGCGACAATAATCAGTTGCGAACCATTATCTGCCCATTTCAAGCCTGAGATCATTCTGGGAACTTCGGGCAAGAGATCCACAGCGTTTCCGTCCACGTCGTACATGGTGATAGAGCCGCGCATGTCATTGTAAGTCGCAACAGCCAATTTCTGGCCAAGAGGGTCCCATGCTACCGCGGAAACCCACACATTGTCCCCCTTGTTCTCGACGAGTTTTTCTTGCACCGGAGAGGAAGTGGAAGACAGCTTGTATAGGCTGCAGAAGGTGTCCCCGGCTGCAACAACTACTGTAGGGTCCTGTGGCCGCCAGATGGTTGTAGTCACGTGCTCATCACTAGCCACATCGATGATGGCGGTGTCGGGGCTGAGATCAGCGGCCTTGGCGGGGGTGATCTGGACGCCCACGCTGTTTCCGGTGGTCAGGGTAAAAGTCGGCGCCGCGCTTGGTTCCTGGTCCTGCAAAACCGGTTGGATCTCCATATTCACATCCCCGTCGCCATCCACGTTAGCTGCTTCTTCTACTGATGGTGATTCTGTGGTCTCTGGTTTGCTCTCATTAGCGATGCCGTTTGCGGAATCGACGTCCATAGAGACTTCGTCTCCATTGGTTTCCGTGCGATCGCCTTTGCGGGACGCCTTGACAGTCTGCGGAGCGGCGATTTCGGCGGTCGAATGACCGTTGATCACGACCCCATCCCGCGCAACCTTGCCTGTCGGCGAGGTTGGCGGCTGGTCTGCGCTAATGCTTGCTTCGCTTGGACCTTGTTGCTTCTCCGGATCAAAGGGTTTCGGACCAAAGAAATAATTTGAGGGCTCAATTGGGACAGAATTACCCTCCTGTTAGATAATTAGACAGAGCTTGAAGGGCAAATTAGAACAAAAAAAATTAGGAAATCACCAGATGACGTGCCTTGTCGAGCGACTGTTCAAGTTCGTGGTACTGGAGACCCTTCTGGACGAGGGACACTAGCGCATGGGTGCGAATATAGGGAGCAAAGGGTAAAGTCTGCGGATCACGATTCCAGGCGCGTTGAAGTGTCACAGCAGCTTCGCCATGGCCTGTGAGGAGAGTTAGAGGCACGTCGAATGGGAAACGAGCGCAGGTCAGTTTGCAAATTGAGGGGTGCAGAAGAAAAAGAAAGGTTCCACGAACCTGATTCTTGAAGGTACCTGCAAGAGTTAGTATGGATCACTGTTAAGTAACGAAAGGCGGGAGGACAAATTCCAAGCCAAGAGCGCGTACCTCCATATCAAGTAATTGACGTGGTGCGATGTGAGAGCCGGGAGTGCCATTGCTTGTTACATATGACAGCTAGGAAGGGGAATGGTGGACGAGCATCCCAGAAGGGGGAATTCAGCAGACAACGCAAGCGCGGGTATGTGACGATGCAGATCTGCGAAGGATTGACCCAAAGGGGGACGTCTGGTGGTCGAAATTGGTGGCTGGAACCCAAGGATAGTAAAAGATAGATCGGAAAGGAAAGAGAGGAAGCTAGAGGGAGGGATGCGCTGGGATGGTAATTTGAGATGAAGAAATATTGAGGTGACAAGAAGCGCGGCAAGTCTGGGGATAGCCGACAGATGGTGCTAGCTCAGGACTAAGCAAAGTGGGGAGGAATCAGAAACAGAGCAGGTCCAGTGATCAAAGAAAGGGCCAGGCAGCGTTGGACATGTCCTGCACCGTGAATGGCAAAGAGCTGGACGACAAAGGATCAATGTCGGGACGGGACAGCAACGTGTGTCGGGATCAGGCCCGCTGCAGAATACCGGAATGGAGACAGACAGAGCTTGAGCAGAAGTGAGGACTGAGGGGGAATGAAGATGTGAAGATGGGATGGACAGCTGGGGATGGAATCACGGGACGATTAAAGGCAGACCAGACCAGAGGCAGAGACAGGAAGGGCCCAGGAATAGGATTCTCGAATGACCGTCTCCGTCCAGGCGGCTCTGAACATTTGGACATGAAATGATCTTGAAGCCCGGCTGGCCTAGAAAGTGGACTTGCTCTCCTTGTGGCGTCTGGCCCACGGTTGGCCTGCAGCCAGCGATCGCCCACGGAGCTAGCCGGATACGGTTAGCCTGGCTGGGTGGTGATGATGTTGAGTCTGACGGTTCACGGTTACCAGTTGGTAGCTTGGACAAGGGTTCAACAAGCTGCTTGGTATAGGACTCTGAAGGGCTTTGTATGACAGGCCCAGACCCTGTTATATCTCTAGTTCTATATGTGTTATCCATGAATTAAGTTACGTTGAAGTGGAATAGTGGATGAACTCCCGCTCGCGTGCCAAGACAAGCGTGGCTTCATAACTAGTGTATCTGACTAAGCAAGCTTACGCTCACTTCATAACTCGGTATCCCGAGCTTGAGTAGGACAATGAACTGGTTTTAGATTAATCTTGGAGCCGCTTTGAAATGAGAAGCTTACCATCTAATTCTGATTCCACGGCCATCGTTCTCTCTTGATCCAAGGCATCATCACGCGCAGTGCGGATCACCTGCGCAAAGCCGTCGACCGCTACCGCTGTCTGTCCGCGCCCAGCCTCCGCCTCCTTTGCCGCATCGACAACTTTCAGATTTGGGCTCACAACAGCCTGCGGTCTGCGTTCGCGAGCAGCCGCAAAGCTACCATCACCATGGCGCTCAGAGTTAACATCCCCCCAGCGACTCGCGTCTGCCTCATCAGTCTCATCACCCTCTCGTTCCTCTATAACATCGCCCGATGGCGCCAACTCGACACAACCCCCGGCTCTTCGACCATCTCTCCGCCAGTTCCCTACCTAACCCTTGTCCCATCACAGTTCCTCTTCTATCCATGGACGCTTCTCACGGCCACATTCGTCGAGCAGAATATCTTCACCGTTCTCCTGAACCTCGCGACGCTGTTCTACGGCGGGAAGTACCTCGAGCGCGCATGGGGGTCTCGCGAGTTCACTAAGTTCATCGTTACCATTGCGCTGGTGCCCAACTTGGTCATTGTGCCGTGCTACTTGTTCTGGGCGACGGTTACTGGCAGTAATGGTTCCGCGGGGGGATCGACTTCGAGCAGCGGGTACGCCTTGTTCTCGTCCTCTGATGAGGGATGTACAACTGCATGCACATTCCCTGCTGACACGGCTCCGTTCAGTGTGACACAGATCTGCGGCGGCATCTCAATCCAAGCTTCCTTCCTCGTCGCTTTCAAGCAGCTCGTCCCCGAGCATACGGTAACCATCTTCAAGGGCCTAGTCAAGATGCGGGTGAAGCACTTCCCCGCCGTTTTCCTGCTCCTCAATACCCTCAGCGGGATCATCCTCGGAACCAGCGTTGCCGCAATACTTGCATGGTTTGGCCTAATTACAAGCTGGACATATCTCCGATTCTTCAAGCGCCAGCCCGATCTCACCGGCACCTCAACCGACGGCCAGGGTATCAAGGGCGACGCAAGCGAGACATTCGCCTTCAAGTGCCTCTTCCCCGACGCAATCCAACCGCCCATCGGCATCGTCTCCGACACCATCTACTCCCTCCTCGTCTCCCTGAAAATCTGCACCCCCTTCTCAGCCGAGGAGATCGCCTCGGGGAACCAGCAAGCCCTCGCCCGAGGCGAGGCCGGCCTCCCTACCCTCCTCAGCAACCGCAACGGCCGGAGCATGGCCAAGCGCGAGGAAGCAGAGCGGCGACGAGCCGTGGCCCTCAAGGCCCTCGACCAACGACTCCAGGCGGCCGTCGCGGCTCGGTCTCAACCCGGCGCAAGCGCGAGCACACCCAGTCCAGTTCCAACCCAAACGACTCAAACAGCAACGCCGTCCGTGCCGGGGCAGACGATGTTAGGCGAGACCAGCTATACACCGGACCACGCGTAGCATAGCCGTGGCAGTGCGAACAAACAGTGTGCATTGATTTCTGGAGTTTGGTTATAGGGCATTGATTGGGATATGAGGACCTACCGTACCTGGGGGTCGAGTGTTCTAGTTTAACTAGTGTGGTGGTTAGGGCAGGAGCCTTCTTCTTCGCTTCGATGATTGTGATATATGTGCATCTATTATTACCCTTGCATCTTGTACGTAGCTATATACCGTTCTGTTCTTGTGTCCGCATTCAGCTTCAATTTTATGGTTCTGCCCGGTCTATAACCCTATAAGCTTTCTCTCACGAATAGACAGTAGCAAGCTCTGAGTAGGAAGAATAATGAACCAAAGTCACTGATATACACCATTCGATCCGCAAATATCGAAGCTATCGTGCAAGTGAAAACGGCCGTAGCGGAGAATATGCGAGGACGTCAGATGTTCAGACACAATAGTAGGTATTTAGCCAGTTAGGTACTTAGTAGCCCGTAGGCAGTATCCTAGACGCCAAAAGAAACGATACACGGCAAAAGATGCACCCTTCTGTTCGCCAACAAGCCATCGCCATATAATGGTATACCAAGCGCAAGCCCAAGTGCAGACCCAGACCCAGACCCAGACCCAGAACTTAATACGATAACGCCGCTGATAGAAGAGAGGTAGAAGTACACTTATCCACCCCGCTCACCAAACTGTCTTGCCCAGTCCTCGTATGCGCGCAGACCCTCTCTACTGACACTAGGCCTAATAGACAACAAACTGGCTTCAAAGTCTGCGAAACAGATCGGTCGGATTTGGTCCATTGGAGTGTGGAGAAGGGCTTCGCCGAGGTTGCGGAGGGGGCCCATGGCGGCGTCTTTAGCGAGAGCTGTGATGTCGGAGCCTGAGAAGCCTGCAGAGAGACAGTTAATTCCTCATTCCTGGTCAATTTGGAAAAGTAGTTTGAATGCATACCTTCTGTAACTTGGACGAGAACTTCAATATCCTCGTCGTCAAGGCCATGTATTTGATGGCCCAGTAATCTGCGCAGTTGCTGTCCTCTGACTTCGTGCTCTGGTAGGGGAATATACTGGCGTCGAACGAACCGGCGGCGCGCGGCTTCGTCAATGTCCCAAGGCATATTCGTGGCTGCTAAGACGAGGACTCGACTTGGGTCGCCTGATTTTGGTGCCTCGCGTCCAGCCGCAGCGCGTTGAAGGTCAGACCATTGAATGAGGAATTCAGTCTTTGACCGGCGCGATGCCTCGTTCTCTGTTCCTGACGAACGCGCTGAAAGGAGCGAGTCGATCTCATCAACGAAGATGATTGAAGGCGCTAATGATTTGGCCAGGCCGAACAGAGCTCGTACGAGCTTCTCGCTCTCACCGTGCCATTTTGAAGTGAGTGTCGATGCGGATACAGAGAAGAATGTCGATTTTGACTCCGTCGCAACCGCTCGTGCGAGCATCGTCTTTCCGGTTCCTGGGGGTCCAAAAAGCAGCATGCCTCGGGCTGGTTCACGCAGCCCGGAGAAGAGATCTGGTCTGAGGAATGGATATACCACGGCTTCTTTCAATGCCTTCTTCGCACCATCTAAACCAGCTATGTCGTCCCAATGCACCTCGTCTCCGCGAACAACAATATCATTCAGGACTTGGCGCGCCGCGTTCGGATCTACGCCTCTCGGCAATTTCTTCAAGACATCATCGATGAACGAGTCTTCCTCGAAGTCTCCATCCTCCGCGTCATCTCCTTCTGCAACTTCGATTGACTTACGTCCTTGCGTATCTGGATCACTGGAAGGTGGTGTAATAGGGCGCTTGATTTCGGGCCTCGGTTTTCGTCGTACTGGGCTCCCTGAAATATCTATATTATCTAGACCACGGACTATATCTCGATCTCGATCTCGCTCAGGAGCTCGTGGTCTGGGAGCTGAGGTTTCAGAGCTCGAGTACGCCCCAGATGACAAAGACTGTGGCGCTTTCAGCGTTACTGGCTTGGGTTTGACAGCTGGCTTCGCAGGGAGACTTGCGAGAGAGTCTCTGGGCTCCAGTTTAGTCGGAGATTGTCGAGTTCGACTGTTGGGTTCGGTTCGAGGTTGCGTAGGATCACGATGTCTTAATTTCGGGGATGCCGGAGTTGACGACGGGCTGCCTTTAACAGGAGACCTTCTCCGAATCTGGCTATCCCCTGAATAAATACGCGAGAGCGCGGCTCGGGTCGAGTCGGAGTGCTTCCGCTCGGATAGCTTAGGTCGAGAGGATGCAATTGCGGCATCACTGCTCGCTTTATCAGCAGCATACAAACCTCCTGGTGAAGGCAAGTCATTCCGCGGAGTATCAGAATCTCTCCGTGTGTTTAGATCATTCGAGAAACTCTGCCGCGAGGACGCTACCGCAGCATCACTAGCCGTTCTATCAGAGGAGGGGGTCCGCTGAATACAGCCCCAAGCCAGACCCGCCGCCTGAGAAGCAGCAACCGGACGGAGATCCTTCCGGCGCGAAGTATCCTTTTTCTTTTTCTTCAGAGCCGGGTCGCGCAACGTAGAGGGCATCGACGGCATCTTCCGGCGATCAGGACTCGGCGTCCGAGAACTCGACTTGATAGAGGTTTGCGATTCGGTCCTTGCAGCCGTCGGACGAATTGGAGGTGACGTCTGATCAGAGACAATAGCGGCAGTGGCAACGGTACCAGGCAAGGGCCGTTGAGGAATCGCAGGCGGTTTCGACAGATCGGTATACCCCACCGCAGGAACGGTTCCGTCCCCAATCCAGCCCGGCGTAGCGTTGCCGCTATTCTTCGGCCGGAGCGTAGGCGGAGACCTCAACTTCCTCAACGCCGACGTTGATTCCTTGCCCTTATCCTTATCCTTATCCTTTTCCTTCCTACTCTCGCGAAGCGCGTCGAGGAGGTTAACCCGCTCGCGACATTGAAGCTCTAGCTGGCGGATAGATTCCTGCAGGGCCCGCTCGGTCTCAGTACTCGGGGTATAGCTCGCGGGCAGCCGGTAGGCGTTGTGATAGTATATAGTTTCCAGGGCGGATCGCCAAGACCTCAGGGCTTCGTCTTCATTATTCTAAGACAGAAAAGCCAATTACGTCAGTAGATGATCGTCAGGAGCGGGCTGGGATCACGGACTTGACCCTCGAAGTAGACGGCCGTCGAGCACATCAAATAACAGTCGTCATAGGTCTTTTGCAGCGACGACACTGGCTTAGGGCGCATCATTCGCAGAATCGGGGTATGGAAATCACGGGGAGCGGAGTAGTGCAGGGCCAGCCAGCGACACCGCCATGCATGAGAAGACGGGGAAGAAGGAGCGAATTGAGGGAGCGAGCAACGAAAGAGGCTGAAGGTACGTTGGAAGACGACTGGGAAGAGAGTGCGAGAGCCGAGTTGGAATTCGGAACTGAATCATGGAATCGATGGAGAATCCAACCCAGAGGTTGGTTTGGTTGGACGACAAAGACGGCGAATCGGCACTTTTTTCCCCTCGTGACGTCGTTGCTGGAGCTGGAGCTGATTAAGCAACCATGGATACAGTGAGACAGTGTCAGTTATTTATACAAAAGACAAGAATAAACAGGAAGCTCTTTACGGAGTATATTCCTCCTGTATAATGATTATCTGGATATGCCGTCCAGCCAGTCCGCCCACCGGGTGACCGGTCACCGCCGTCTCGTATGTCTATCAGTACATGGTTCACAATCCAAAACAAACAGATGCGCAAATAAATAGGAATAGATGAAATGGAAAGAGAAATGAATTTTCCCGAAGCATTTCCTCCCTGAGTCCCAACGCCAAAAAAAATCGAGATACCGGTAAATCGGGCCACGGTGGGCTCCGATCCAAGATCAAAGAAAACAGAAGCGAAAATGTCGTAAAGTACATGGCAGTCCGTAAACGAGCCATAACAGACACGGTCAAGCCAGTACTAGTAGTTCGCAATGTCTCGTCCGGGAATAGAACATCGAGTATACACATGGTGAGAAAGGAAGGTCAGCGTCGAAAGTATCCTGGTATGCCACTCGTACTATCCCAAATCCCATATTGTTCAGAATCGTGGCCTTTCTCCATGATGTGTTTTTGTCTCTCGGAGTTGGTTTTTGCTTCGAATTTACATTGTCGGAATATCGGTTAGTCGAGTAATTCACCATGAAGTCAGTCGGAGCTCATGCAAAGCGTGTTCGTGCGAGCGGAGTTGAACTTCTAGGCCCGGCCTAGTTGTCAACCTGGCCCTTGAAATAGGCCTTGGCCATTTCGTACGAGGTCCAGCAGATGGCAGTGCTGGGCATCGTGGAGATGATACGGGGACGAGCACCGCGCAGGAACCCCCTCCAACCGAACTGGCGCTTAATGAGGGAGGCCGCACCGAACAGTCCCTTGACCGCGCGGATCTCCTCGTTCTGCGCAAGACCACGGGTTTGCAGAAGAGTCTTCACCACGTCAAGCGGCGTAGTAATACCAGCGGCAATGGCTCCAGCCAGACCACCAGCAATGCAGTGTGTGAAGGGGTCGTAATCCAGACTGGGGTTCATGATCTTAGAGATGGACTCGTATGCGACAAACTGAGTGGCGGTGAAAGGTACGGTCATGCAGAGAGTGGTGGGGTAGGAGACGTAGAAAGCATGGAAACCTTCAGTCCTGTAGACGGACTTCGCGCATTGGAAGATGGTCTTGTGTATGGAACCATGAACCTGCATTCGTTGTTTGATCACTGTTCATGTCAGGAAAGTTCTTTGATCACGCGCGTTGTCGGAAACTCACCATCAAACGGGTTCATGAGGGCATCACTAGCAATGGTCGCCGCCGCACCGCTCATGGCTTGACAATGTCAGTAATGAATTCCAACGCGACTTTAAGCTACAATCTTACCGGCCGCCAATGGGTGGTGTCCATCGTCAACATTTCCACCAGCCATCTCCTTGACAGCCTCGTATGTACCGAAGTAGACAGCATGCGCGGGGCCTAGAAGCAAAGCGCAAGTTAGTCCGGAAAATGCGCCAATAGTTTCGCCCTTGGCGTCGTATCTGCTTACCAGCACCAACAATCACACTCGACACGCCCTTCCAGAGCGTTCGCCACCCTTCAATTCGGTAGATTGTGGAAACCGCATGTGTCAATCCTGTGTAGAGCCCTCCGGTGGTGGGATGCAAGACTTGCATACGAGTCTGTAGTCGCAAACCCCCAATGATTAGCCATCCGCACGCCGCACAAGTAGCAAAGCGCGAAATAAGGTCAATTGACGTACCTTGAGCAAATCGACTGGGTACATAACCGCATGCTCCTATGCCAACCGTCAGCGATCCCATTTCCCACTCCGAGTATAGTCCAATTGACAAGCGACGTACTGCGATGCCGGCAAAAGCGCCAGCTAGCATGTTCCGACCGAGGCCATAGTTTGAGGGGAGTGCTTCGTAACTACCATGACGACACAGTTAGCGTCTGCCTAACCGGGGCGTCACAACTTTCCGCGGAGAAAAAAACAGCGCCGAGTGAACAGGCAAAATCTGAGCGCGAGCTGCGTGATCCCCCAAGCAGAAAGCTCGGAAATCTCGGTGAAGCCCCCTCGGAGATAGAAGAAACCCAGAGGCGAAAAAAACAAGCTCCGCATGACATACTCATATTCTTCCCCCGGCACTTGTTGAGGAGCCGCCATCGAGCTAGCAGAGCTCTAGCAGCCGTAGCCGCAAGAGAGAGGACGGAGGAGGGGGGAGGGGTGAGGAGAGGAGAGTTGGGTAAAGGCGTAGGAGAGCGAAGACGAGGCCGGCGTGGTGGTGAGCGAGCTTGAGTTTTGAATATGCCGAAGAAAAACGGGACTCCGCCAGGGACCGAACCCGACCAGCAAGGAAAAAGTGTGGAGGCGGGAGCGACGTAGATTATTCAGTCCGGTGAGAGGAGAGCGAAGATCACAACAACAATGAAATAAAGAAGAGAAGAAGAGGTGCTGAGATGGTAAAAGGGAGGTGATGATATTTTTTGAAGGTCGAGAGGAAGAAGTTGTTCTTAATGATTTCCCAAGAAAGGCAGTCGGTCTTGGTCTGGTCGGAGCGCAAACAGAACAGCTCGGGCTCAAATAAATTATTTCTTCTAGAAGGATTGACTAGTCCCGTGAGCCTGGATTGCCTCAATAGGCTAATCTGCCTTTGATTAATTTTCTTCTCCAGGTGATCTTGAAGCTCAGGCTTGCGTTGTTTTCGCTATCAGATCTGTCGTCAGGATTATCAGATGGACTACCCCAACTACGCTATACAGCTTTAAACGCAACCAACTTCTTAAATTATGATGCTTTAGTAAGATAGACCTTTTCTTCTGTAGATAACAATCCGAAGATAAATATCTGAAGCTGAATCAGCGCCTCAGCCTAGACTATCCATGACTAACGAGCCGATGGGACTGATTTACACCGAGGTTGCCGGCCGTCATCGGAGCTGCAGCTCCCAATCGACCTGCCGCTCTGGGATGCCCCTAACCGCCGAACCGCGGAGGTATCCAGTTACTACTAGTCAGTCGAGTCTTAAAGATCTAGTCAAGGACTCGGCTTATCAGATGGGAAATAACACGTCTCTTAAGCCCGAGCACGGGACTAGTGGCAACTCCTCGTGCTCCGTTACGCAGGAATGGATATGTTCTTCACCTTCAGTCAAGATATAATGACATAAAGATGTTTGTATTGATACAATCCAGAGAAAAATATGTCCTTGCTTCCAACCTAGATATGCCTCATGCTCCAGGAATAGTAGGTAACGCCCTGCGATGAAATACAAACCAGATCTCGCTGTAATGTGCTGCACGTCATGTACGTCGTAATAAATGATAAATCCCTTCCCATTCTCTCCCGTCCCGATCAATCCAGTTTCCGTTGCATCCATTTACCAGCCTGGACCGGCCAAGATATGAAACCGCTAGATCCCTCTCTGCCCTTGCCGTGGCAGATAAATAAGCATGCTCGCTAGATCTATACAACTCTAGGTCTACCATTCAACGTTGAATTGCCACACCCCTGCGCAACTCCGTTAGCTGATGATTCACAAAAGTCAAGGCGACAAACATACCGTTCTTCAGATTTTCTGCTGTATCGCTCAGAAGGATCACCCGCCGTTTATTGCAGTATGCTGTCTTATCCAAGATGTCCACCTTGAGTCTCGCCAATTCTGCAACCGGGTTATCAAACATCTCACTGAGGTTCTCGACCGCCATCTCCAAATCCTTCTGGTTATCCTCGAAGATCTCCGTCAGGTTGTTCCGGGCCAGGTAGTAAGCAAAGGCGTACGTCCACTTGAGTGTTTGTCGGCATTGCTGCAGCGCCTGAGATGCAGTATCAAGGAATTGTACTTCGATCCAGGAGAGACCCGACGAGGACTGTAGACTTGTCATCTTCTTTTCCGTCTTCAGGTACAGATCTTTATCCAGCTTGGCGGACTGCTCATGGTTGGCGTATCGGTTGTAGTAGTGCAGATAGCGTTCCAATGATGCTCGAGAGCGCGCTTGTTCTGACCGAGCCTCGGAACCCGACTTCTCCTCGAATCTGTTGCAGTTATACCAGCTTGTGCCGTGCTCTGACCATAGGCCCATGCACATCCAGCAGAATTCGTGCTTGCATTTGCGACATGTCATGTGGTTGCAACCGCCGTTCTTTTCTATAGTCGAATGACACCTGGGGCATTCCTTGGTGTTCGCTGAGATCCAGTTGGCTGTTTCAGAATCATCCTCGCACTTCTGTAGCCACATCTTGACGAGTTTACAAGGTGCAGGCTGATGGTCATTCAGAGTACATCCGAAGCAGAAGCAATGCTTGCAGCCGCATTGTACTGTAGGTACGATGCGTTGGAGCTCACGCTGCTTCACGTGGCAGTCGACTGCGTACTCGCAGTTCGGAGCCGGGCACCACTTCAGGTTCTCCTTGTCGTCGACGTAGGTCCGCATTAACAGTGTCCGATATCTGCTCAGGGGATCAGAATGCAGTCCAGCGTAAGTCAGTAAAGGGTAAAAGCGGGCAATTTACCTGTCTTTGAGATCATCCGTAACAAGTAGATTCAAAGTCTTTGAATCGACAATCATATGGCAATCATTACCCGGACACTGTATCCTAGCAGCCTCGCCCTCTTCCCGGATCTTCTGCTCGAGATAGTGTCGATAGCAGTCAACACAGAAACGATGTCCGCAGCGCATAGCATACGTCTGAAGATCATCGCCATCTTCGCAACAGATATCACACATGAAGCCTGGTACCACCTCAGTTTTTGGTGTTGTGTCGAAGTTGGTCCCGAGGCCTGCTTCCTCTAGTGTCTTGTCCGGGTGGTCCATGTACGACTCGATCAGTTTTTCCCTGTTCCATCGGCCAAATCGCAGCAGAATAGCCGACGACTCTGGCGGCAAGCCGAGGATCGATGAGACCTCGTTAACCTGCAGGTTCTGTTCTCGTTCGATGTCTTCGGGGGTCAGCACTTTGAAATCGACCTCGTATGGTTTCTGCTCGTTTGAGAAGATATCTTTATCTTTTGAGAATCCGCCGTCAAAGTCATCGCCGAAGTCTGATTGTGTCAAGCTCAAGTCAGCGACCTAGCTCCCGAGGACATCGAATAACCATGCGCAACTCACCTTCTCCTAAACTCTCATCGTCACTACCCTGGGTACCCAAAAAGTCATCGGCACTCGACGCGATACTCATGAAATCGTCGTCGGACTCCATGGTTGTTGACGCTGGGGTGACCAGATCAGTCGCCTTGAGCCTCTCCTCCACCGGGAGCTCCAAAACCTCCTTCTCGGACTTGGGCGTATCCAAATCCGATTCAGCACCGGAACCAGGAAGTTGAGCCTTGGTCTTCTTCTGCCTCTTGCGAACGGGCTTAGTGTCGGGACTGGCGGAGGAGGATTCCGTCGCGGTGGCGGCTCGTGAGCGGCTGCGAGACTGGGTGGCGGTAGTAGGGGTGGGAGACGCCGCCAGGGCCGCCTTTCGCTTCCTCGTGGTGGGAGGCGTGGTGAAAGGAGGTACCGTATGTGCTGGACACGGGCAAAAAAGTTAGATCTCGAGGGTTACGTCGAGATCTGACCTTTTTTACCCCGGTACAACAACACACGTCACAACTTGCCGATGACAGCAGGGTGGCAGCCTAGGGGGCAGGGGTGCTAAAAGCTTGACTAGGGTGAGGAGATGATGAAGGGAAGAAGAGAAGCACTCAGGGATGAGCGGATCGTCGCCTTTGCTCTTGAGTGGCCTTATCGAGGACTGGGAGGTAGATAGAGGGGGCCAAGTGAACCGGGTTGTGTCACCGAAGCTCAGCCGCCGCCCGCGTTAGTCATTCAACCAACTGAACTTCTGAAGCTGCTACGGCCTCGCGAAACAGTGGGGAAAGGCTCGGGACTGCGCGTGGATGCCAGCAGTAGTGGGAGAGGAGTCGAGATCAAGCCATGTGAGCTCTATAAAAGAGTCATTGAGCGCTCTTTCTTAATCGTCTTCGCGAGGCTCATGTGGTCGTGTCATGGTCAATGCTAAGAATAGCGCGCCAAGTGGACACGCGCAACTCCAGGCAGCAAGGCACCAGTTTGTTAAGTGCCATCTTGACATAGCGCCAAATGAACAGTGATCAGGTCAGTTAGCCGGTAGCCGGTAGCTGACTGCTAACTTGATGGATCTCTACTCGTCTATTTAATCGCTCTTTTGGAGCGGAGAGTGAAGTCATTTTGCCATGCCCGTACGGAAATATATACATGGTCTCTGCACCACTCCCACCCAGCCCATATCTATGAGCGTCGTCTTAGCGTATACCGCCAGACCATGGAAATTGCCGGATCTCGCAGATATCTAGAGGTGCAAGGTGACTCTTCCACTCACGGAGATAGAGATCCACCGTCCCCTCTAGCTCCCCCCGAGATCGATCTAGCCAGGGACATGGGGTGACCACCTGAAAGACCTGCAGTCCATTCAACGCGACTTGCTTTGTTCTCCTAAGTGGTGACTTGTCTAGCCGGTGGCCTGAAAGGAATGAGGACAAGACCCCTTGTTCAGGAATACAATGATTTGGTAGCTTTTATTAGATTTGGTTTGTTTCGGGATATGGAGGCTTTGTATACGATGTTCAGACTTGGACTTTCTTCCTTTCTTCCTTTGTTCATGCGTGAATAATGGATTCAAGAAGGGCTTTGTGATCATATAGTCAATGTAATGCATTGTCCAAAGGTATCCCATGTTGGTCGAGGCCGGGTATATAAAGTACCTCAAGGCCGCTGTGGTGGTCCTATCCACCAGCAGCACGAGTCTTGGATACACTGGATGGTCCTTCCTACGGCAATATCTTCATCTATCAATCTTCCAACAGCAGCTCTTCCCGAATTATTCATCAGCAAGTCACCATGTCTACCTCTGGTTCCCAGTCTCAAAAAACCCTAGCCAGGCTTTCAGTGGATGACTTCCTAGAGAAACAGAGTCTCCCAGTGGACTTTGAGTCATGGACCATCGAAACCTTCAAGCAGATACAGCAGGTACGTGGCGAACTAAATGAGGGCGGACCTGATGCACTTGAAATAACAATCATCCAGCTCAAGGAGGCAACTGTAAATGCCAGGGCAGATGGTGCACCCCCGGATGTACTGGAGGCCCTTGCGGAGTGTTTGGCCAAGGCAAGAGAGATACACGTATCCAGGGACATCAAGATACACCCAGTGCAAGTGTATAAGCCAAACATGGCGCATCTACGTGCCATCTTTTGTGCCCTTGATCTGGATCGGGACCTGTTGAAATGGACTCCTGAATCTCGTGGACAGGTCGAATGGCAGAAAGCGGCGCAGCGCTTTCTGAACTTCACGTACAATTGTATCCGTGCAAAGTCGCCTGCGGATGTTGAGGACAAGGCCTTTGCATGTTTTGTTAGAGCTTGTGATTTCGCTGGGTTCAAGGACGGAGAACTTCCCCCACCCATCTCAATGTGACCAGTCACTGGTTTTGATTTCTCGTTATTAGTCCTAGATTGCTATGATATTTACTGTGACATTGACAGCAAACAATGACATGCAGTTGCGTTCCAAAATCAGGTTCTGTAGTCCTTTAGTGGAGTGTAAAAGATGATGTAGATTGGATAAAGCCCACCCTAGTGCTGAAATGGATAACAAACAATCCCTCAGTACGGCGTAGCTGATAGTGAAGCTGACCCCCTGAGGTGCGGGTCTTTCTGCTCTCTGCAGGTGACCGAAGATATGTCAACACGTCCCTGTCCATATTGGCCAACAGCTCAAAACTTCCCTACGTGCAAAGCCAGGGATTGTTGTAACTCCAGAGAGCCAGCGGGTACTCGAATTTGGAACGTCATGATAACTGATATGACACCTGCAGATCGTGCCATCGCTTTCTGGAGATTTCAGCCTCAAAATTCACGTTGATCTGGCCAGAGGCAAGGGTTGTCGTGCCGTTGAAAACCCACAGTTTAACATGTTGAAGTCGCCGCATGGCTTCATATTTTATTCTATCTAAGGCCAATCAAGGTATCTCAAGCTCATTCGTCATCACTTTCTTCTTCTTCTTCTTCCTCTTCACTGCTATCCTCCTCCTCAGCCTCCGCAAGCCAGTCAATAAACTGTTGCGTCTGACTGCGCACCTTACGCATTTCCTCGGTAGCGGTTGACCGCTCATCCGCCCACCATTGCTCCAAGGCCTCCTCCTCGACAACTTCCAGCTCGTACAGCTCCTTAGCCAAAAACAAGAGCACAGTCTCACCGCGGGGACGGTGAACGAGATCCTGCTGGAACAGGACCATCAGGTCGACCTGATCGGGCTTTGCGCCGGTCTCACGGTCGAACAGTGCACGCTCGATGATCTCGTGGTACTTGCTGAACATGTCGTGGACGGCATCTCTTGCGCCCTGGCCAGCTTCCATTAACTGTGCCACGCGCTTCATGAAGGCTGAAGTGACGGCTCGTCGGACTTCGTGGTCTGAGGCGTTGGCCGTCATGCGGAGACTGACTAGCTCTAGTTGTACGACGTCGGATGTGACGCCGTCTCGTAAACTGTCGAAGACGCTGGCTGCAGCGTCTTGGACGAAATGGGAGTCTTGGTCCTCGTCGTCAGAGACGGAGGTTGCGAAGCTTCCGGAGCGGGATCCCCCGTAGTCTGAGATCTCTGAGGATAGTGTCGAGATGGAATCTGTAGAAAGAGAGAGGTTTGCCATATTGTAGACTGCGGGGATTGTTAGTTCTGATTAGGGGAAGTAGGGGGATAAGGGAAGGACATACTCAAGCCTGACGACGCATTGCTGGCCGTCTCGTCGTCATCCTCGTCCTCGTCATATGGAACGTATTCATATCCCTCACCACCCTCGCCTACGATGCTTGGTTCACTTGATGGTGGAGCGTCATCATCTTCCCGAGAAGCGTTTGTTATCCGCCTGCCCTCATTGACCAGCACACCGTCCGCAACCTTCACACCGAAAGAGATCAAGGCACCTGATTCGACAGTGCAGTTCTTTCCAATCACGACACCATCCGCAATGATAGCGTGGCGGATGGTTGTTCCATCGCCAATGACTGCATTGTCCCAGATGTATGCCCCTTCCAACGTGACGTTCTTGCCGATCTTGCAGTTCCGGCCGAGTACTGTGTCCTTCACGATCGACTTATCGCCAATGCTGGTCCCTTGGCCAATGACCGTCCGTCGGCCCACGACGCACGAACGAGCCAGCGTCACGTCCTGTTCCTGGTACAGTGTACCCTTTCGAAGCTCATAGTTATGGCCCGGCAGCAGGTTGGTTTCGGGACACAAGGGATAGGCCCACCGAGAAATAACATCCTTGCTCACGGCATCATACGCCTTCAGGTTCCTAACTCGGGCAACGTAATGGTCCTCAATGATATGCGTGTGAATCGTCTTCCCGTTCAGTTCATAGTCTTTCAGAACACCGTAGAGGAACTGCTTTCGCGGAGTCTGGTAATCGAAGCTGTCAGACCACAAGCTCAGAACATCCGGGGTGCAAATGTCGATATTGCAATCAATGAGGTCTTGTCGGATATCAATCTCGGAGAATGTTGTAATAATCTCAGCGTCGATATTCAGGCGGGAGGATTCAGGAGAGTGATGGTCGATCTCTTCGTAATGCAGACAGCGGTCCTTGGTCGGGTCGACAACGAAAACCGGGGACACGGATGAGGCCTTTGTCCGGTGCTTCCTGCCAGCTTCGCGCAGAATCATCGTCATAATCGCATTCTTGTCTGCTTGACGGCGAGCACGGTGCTTCGCTAGGGCGCCTTCGATGGGTAGGTTGCTGATCACATCGCCGCTTACGACAAGGAAGTCGCCCGTGATCAGATGCTTGCCGTCGAGATCTCGCATGACATCTCCGACTGATGTAGAGGTGGACTTGAGGAAGGTGAACTTCTTGAACGGCGAAGAGGGCGCTCTCCATTTTGAAGCGCTAGGTCATTGTCAGCTTGGCTATAGGCTGGCATTCCTCTGCCGTAGTCCTAGATACATACTTGATGTAACTCTCCAGTTTATCCGAGTGCGCACCTCCATACAGGAAAACCTCCTCGACACCGGCGTTGGCAAGGAACTCGAAGGTATACTCGATTAACGGGGTATTCGCAAGCGGCAAAAGACACTGGTCAAAGGGTACGTCAGTCAACAAAGACCTCAGATTCCTCGTCACCATACATACCCGAGGCTTATCAAGAGTAAAAGGTTCAAACCTCGTCTCAAAAGTGTCCGCAAGCACCTACGAAACAAGATTGTTAGCATCCGGCAAAATGAAGAATGCGCGGCATACAAGAGCCACATACAACAGCCTGCAACGTCTCCTCCACCTCCTCAGTCGCGTTTCCGCGCGACTTGTTCGAGCCGCCTCCTTTCTTGGGCGCCATTTTCAAGCGAATGTCAGTCGAAAACGAATGGATCCGTCAACAACAAAAAAATGAAAGACACTCCCACTTAGGAGTCATCCATCCCACTTTCATCCGCCGCTTACCGCCCGGCAGTTTTTCTCTTTGTTTGCTCTGTTTGCTTGGCATTGGGTCACGTGACTATTTACTTGGCGCACCGCCACATCTGAGCGCTATGGCTCGTTCCAGCCGCCAAAGGTCCAGATTCAGCTGAAGGCCTGGACCCTCGTCGACTTGGGGGGATTAAGATCCCTGGATGGGGGCGCTGGTCTAGACCTGGTTATCTGCACGGATCGATCAGATGTTCATGGCTTATGGCCCGCGCTTGAATCCAGGGTCCTTGGTCGCCGATCCCGGTTCGCCAGGTTTGATGCCGTCATGCGCAGGAGCGGAGGGGACGGCTTCGGTTGCAGGCCTGGTTTGTCTGCTTATGTGGGTGATGCTGTCATCGAGCAGTGGATCGGGCTGAGGGTCAAAATGCCATGCATCCCAAAAAGGATTATCCTAGCATAGATATGGATGGAAGCAGAAGTGACAGATGTTATTATCATTCTGGTAAGGCTACATGTCAGGCGGCGCAAAGAAATCATGTTACTGAGCCAGATGACAGAATCGCCAGAGATCCCATGAGATTATTTAGCCAGAGAAGTTAGGGCAAAAACACACGAGCCTGCAAGTCAGGTTTCCAAAAATGAGATTTCTGTACACTCGATGTGTCGGGAGCCAACGTGTCAACACCCCTCTAAAGCAAACATTCCCCACAAAAACCAACGATAAGAATATGTACTCTAAACGCAACACGCAGCTGATGCAATATGTGATTCCAGAAACGCCACAGTTGATCGAATGATTGCCCTATCCCCTGGTGGACGGCAGAAAAAGAATGCAGAGTGTTGCCAACGGATATCAATAGTAGAGAGAAGGTAGATTGCGGCCAAACATAAATTCCAAAATGCGCTTCTCCGGGAATTATCGCATGAATGAGAAGACGACAGGGTATATAAGTAGTACCGACTCGTCAATGGAAGTAGACGGTCCGAATACCGTTGTTAGTGGGTACGAGCAGCGGGTATAGAGCCGACCATGGGCTGCGGCTGTGGCGCATACATGCGCTGTCGTTTGGCCAGGTTAGAGTTATCGGAACCGTTGCTTATTTCGGAGATGTGACGCCGTGGCTGCGGCCTGGCTTGAGGCCCTGCAGCGCTCATTGCCACCGTAGGCGGTGCTGGATACTGCATTCCATTCTGATCGATGGCGTAGGTGGCGGGAGCAGGGTTGGCGGGAACATATTGGCCTGGAACCTGCTGAAGGTTGGCGGGTACTGCTGCCATGGGCTGGAACTGATTTGGAGATTGCCAAGCAGTCATGGCGGCTGCGGGGGATTGGCTGGGAGAGCTATCTTCCTTGATGGTGACCGATTGTGCAGCCGAGCTTTGGCCAGCGATTGTTGCCGGCGTCGCAGCCTGGTGACCCTCCATACCTTGTGAAACAGTTTTGAGGTGGACTAGGTGTTTCTCGAGCATTTCCAAAAGGCTTTTCCGGGTAAATGGCTTGGGAAGAACGTCATCCATGCCTGATAAGAGTCAGCATTTCATATTCGACCGGTCAATTACGGGAGATGCTTACCGTGATGGAAGTAGAGCTGGATGTCGTCGCTTCGGATGTTGGATGTCATGGCAATAATGGGTGTCCGATCAAACTGACGGATGAGATGGCATGCAGAAACGCCATCGAGGTTGGGCATAATAATATCCATCAAAATCAGGTCATACTTGGAGCCGTCCTGAACCTTGTTCACCGCTTCTAATCCATCGAGCTGCGACATGTCAGTGACAATGTTCCTAGTCACGAAGTGGATAACATACCGCAGTGTCTATTTCGCAAGAGAAAGAATAGAGGAATTTCCCACCAATCTGGCGACATGTTGCGTCGTCCTCGACAAGTAGGATTCTGGGACTGCGCATCCAGCCTGGGTCCACATGGTTGCTCTTCTTCCTGTTCTCAGGAAACTGTCTTCGATCGTCCACGTCTTGCTTAGGGGGCATGCTGTAGGGAACGTTGTTGACATGTTCGCCGTACATTGGGTCTATTCCGTTCGTCGCGCCCACAGGATAGACCACTGGCTCCATCTCGCCGTTCATCTTCGGGTACACTAGAGCCGGGTTTGTCGCAGGCGCAGTGGGTTGAGGTGCCACTCGTCGCGGCGCAGTCTCCATAGTAGGGGTGGACACGACGCCGGCCTTCGGTGGCTCACCCATGGACTCAACGGGGACGAGGTTGAACTGTACTTCAGCATTCATGTCGCTCAACAGCTTCGAAGCTTGCTGCAATGGTGTGGAAACGCCGTCGTCCATCGCTGTGACTTGAGAAGGGCTCGCTCCAACTTGAGCCTGAAAAGAGCCGGCTTTGCTGTCGCGCTTTTGTCGGGCGTCGATAGAAACCAGATAGTTCACCAACTGATGTATAACGTTTTCGTGATTCACGACCGTCTTTTGAACCCTCAGTACTTCCTGCAGCATTAGCTGGTGGTCGACAGTCATCTGAGCGTAGCGATCGGAGATATGCTGGATCTGCTGTTGCTGAGCAACAATCTGCTGGTTCAGTAGGTCGATCTGCTGAGTGGGAACGGAATCATCGTGGGCCTGGGTCTGCTTCCGTGGCGCAGGTGCCTTGCGTCGGATGTTGTCGAGGGACTCTTTGCTGTTCGCTCTGAACTCGGGGTGCTTAAATTCCCAAGCCTGAATATTCATTTGCGTCAGGAATGTAAATTCTATCGCTAGCGACCGGGAAAACCCACATTCTGCCCGTACGGCGACTGGCCATTTTCTTCATTATTCTGCCTTACTTTGTGGAAGTCGTACTTGTTCAGCTGTCGCACGAAACTGGCGAAGTTGCTGTGTTTAAAATGTTTCGGAAGGATTGTCTTGGTGAATTTCTCGCACTGCAGGCCTGTCAGCGGTCGAGGTTGCGAGGTCGAGTCCGGCAACTAGGATCGGGTACCTCTAGAACAACGAAGCTATCGCCCTCGTCACCCCACCGCACAATTTCCGCGTACGATGGGTCCTCCAGCATCCTTGTGCGACGCCATCAGTAAAAAAATGATCCGAGAAGGAAGTGAAGCTGATTGTGTTCGAGACAAGTAGCAAACATCGGGGAGGAGTAGGCGGAAACAGGGAAACAAGCAACGGGGAGGGGAGGAGAATATTCGAGGGAAAATCCCGAGGCAGGAAAAAGAAAGGAGAAAGGGCTCACTTGTAGAGTTTGCGAACCTATACATTCTGTTAGCATTCTGTAACACGACCAAATAACAGAGAAAGCCAGGATCCTCCGAAACAAACGCTCAGAAACGTCAATACTCACAAAATCGCTGGAGTTGCCCGAGGGGGCGGCGTTGGTGGTGGTCTGGCCACCGTCCATCATGGGCTAGATGGGTCGCGACCGATCGAACGAGCAACAGACTTCAGCGCAGTGCAGAACGTCAAAAAATTAAAGGGAGCTGGTCGAGGCAAAGTCTGCAAACGCCTGTACGGGTTGCAGGACGAGGGTCTGAGTGAAAAAGAAAGAAGCTCAGGATGGAGCAGAAGAGAAGAAAAAGACGCACTCCCCAAGACGGTCGCAAGAGGGCAGAAAAGAGGAGAGAGGAGTCGTCGGTTGTAGTAGTTTGGTGGGACGGGCGCAACTGAACAGTCAGAGGCGTTGAATAATCTTGCATATTAATAGAAAGCCTTTTCTTGTGCTCACCAGCCACAACCGTGGTTTAAGATGAACCACTTTGGACCTTGGTATTTTCCCTGGATTCTCCCTGAATTCTTGCCCCGATCTGATTGTCTTCGTATTTTTAGATTTATCCTCCTCGACGGAGACGGCTCTCTACAATAGTGCTGGCTGCACCCTCGTACTAGCGGTCGGATACTACGACTCCTACGACTAAGGGGAACGCAGTACTCCAACGTTTGTCGCATCACCTGACTAGATAGAAGGAATTATTATTTAATTTTCCACTGCAGGGATATCAAAGACACCCGTCAATGCGCCTGCAGAGCAACATGCATTAAACCTTGATGGTGGAGGGGAGGCATGGAGGGGCCCAAGTTCAACGGCCTGATCGCCGGTCTTGATTTGATGCCGGCACTACTGCGGGCCTTCTCTCAGCTTTCACCGTACTTAGCGAGCCCTCTGTCAAAGACTCCAAGTATACTCCGGAGTAGAGTCCTCTTGAAAGGGGAAGCATGAGGCCGAAGCGAGTCACGAGCACGATGCTCCTTTCCCCTGGAGGCGACCCCGGGGCCCGCGGGTCGGTCAACAATCAACATTAGCTTTCGCCGATCTCTGCCATATCTCCGTCCCCGTTCGATAATGCAGAGCATGACCTCATCACAGCCCAAGGTGCATAAAACGCGACAAAGACCGCGAGCTCCGCGCAACATACTGATCGATTGACTGGGGAAAAGGACCCCGAGCCCAATAATTTAATCCTGATAGTGATGTTAGACGCTCAGACAACTCGAGTATGCAACCAACAAAGGCCTTCCTCTTGGCCTCGACGATATGTGCCGCTGTTTGAGAAGCACTGTTTCGGTGGGCATCATACTCCGTATGCCAATTTTCACCAGTGACCCAATAGATCAGGCACAGAAGCAGGCTTGTCGCCATGTGGCTTGTTTCGGGTCTCTGGAATCTGGATAGTACCACCTGGACACATCCGCTGGCTCGGCTGTCTATGGCAGCCATTATCCACTGCCCAGGTACAAGCTCCAGAGGCGAAAACGCCTCGTCAGCCCTCCAAGAACCCGTACTCCGAATTTCAGTATAAGATAGTTGTTCACCAGATCAGAAGAGGTCTTTGGACCTTTCGGAGTGAGCGCTCGGTTGCCGTGGGTAAATACTTGTAGTGTGTAACAAACAATGACGTGCCTAGCTTACTCAGGTCACCCTTCAACTACTGGACTCCTCGACCTCATCCAAACCACAACTCCCGGAAACCGTCGCTTTCAATAAACCTACCAATAGTAATAGTACCTTCTTCACCTTACAACCCAATCACCATGTTCGCCGCTCGCCGCCTTACCACAAGCGCTCCCCGCGTTTTCACCCAGAGAGCTCTCTTCCACAAAACCGCGCCAGCCTTCGTCCAGAAGGGCGACGCCATCCCCGATCTCGACGTTCTGGTCGAGGCCTCTCCCGGCAACAAGGTCAACCTCGCCAAGGAGCTGCAAGGCAAGGGTGTTATCATCGGTGTCCCCGCTGCTTTCAGTACGTGCTTCCAATTGGAACCGACAATTTATGCCTGCCAATTGCGAATCTAACTGCGCGTCTTACAGGCCCTGCTTGCTCTGCTACCCACATCCCTGGGTACATTTCCCACCCCAAGCTCAAAGAAGCTGGGCAGGTCTTTGTCGTCGCTGTCAATGATCCATTCGTGTATGTTAGGGCAATGTTCTTTCCAGCCGGGTTGGCAGTGAGCTTGGTTTATCTAACACCGATACAGGACCAAGGCCTGGGGTACATCCCTTGACCCCACTGGCAAGAGCGGCGTAAGAAGCTCATACACTGTTTGATTGGTTGCAACAATTGACATCTGCCTAGATTCGCTTCCTGGGCGATCCCACCGGAAAGTTCTCCGAGGCGCTGGATGTTACTTTCGACAGCACGACGATCTTTGGCAACCAGCGTAGCAAGCGCTATGCCCTTCTCGTTGAGAACGGCAAGGTCAAGGAGGCATTTGTTGAGCCTGACAACACGGGTGTCAATGGTATCTTTCTTCATCCCTATGTCTCTATTCTGGATCCATACTAATGAAGAACAGTCTCCGCCGCTGAGAAGGTGCTCGGCTAAACGAGAGTTATCTACACCTGCAAAACAATGTACAACGAACATTAGGTGCTAGGGCTGCGGAGCGTAAAATATTATCAAATAATCATAAGAAGATCTACTTAAAACCCCCTCCAACGCCTAATTGCGATCTTTTAAGGACACTAAAGCCCGGATGTATCAACATCGCCCCATACCTCGGCAAGCCCAGCTGTATAAACATGATCTAAGCAGACCCCTGCTGCTGCGCCCACTGCTCAGGTGTATAGCACTTGGGCGTCCACGCGTGAATAGCCGCAATCTCCGCCTTCAAAACCGAGTTCACCAACCGATGACGAGCAAGCATGGTCTTCTTATCGAACTGTGGCGAGACAATGACAGCCTGGAACGCTTGTCCGCAGCCTCCTACAGCCAAAACCCCCGTTAGCGCATTCCTTGTAGAAAACCCAGAGCACCCGTCCGGTGAAACCGAAGCCGAAGTGAAGCAGCAATGACGTACCCGATAAATCCTCAATCTCAACATGTTGCGCCTGCAGCTGCTCAACCAGCTTCCCCTTCAGCAGGTCGGGTGTCACAACGCCAGGAGCGGTATCGGCCATTGCAGCGTTCGTGGCGGCGAGCGAGCGCGCGGAAAGCGAGAAGGTTGCTTTTGCGGGGACGGGCGAGCGCAGGAGGTATCGGCAGCTTCTGCTCAGCAAGGTCGTTGTGCGGGAGTACATCAAGCGTTGGGTTGGGGGTGCCCGTGGAGCTATTTCAAGAAGAAGGGGTTCGAAGGAGAGTTTGCGTTCGTTTAGATATGGTGTTGAAGAGCTTTTGGGCGAGGGATTGGTTTGCGGAGTTAACGTTGCTGGGTATCGCCGCGGAGCAGAGAGGGAATGGATTGGTCAGCACTGGGTGGCTGTCACGTGATGGCTTACTATACTCCGTGTTGTGGTTCTTTGCACCACGAAGCCACGAACTTGAGATCCATCAAGGGGTTTTACTATCCTGGAAGTACCATGGAAGAAAGTGAAATAGGCTAGAAGGTGAGGTGACATGCCAACTGACACTCGACTGAATTTCTACTGTACAAGGTTCTCGTATCCAAGTTCCACTTCAAGACATGAATTGAATTGTCGGTATGCGTGCAAACACCAAGCCATCAACTCAGTCCAACATGAAGATGTCTCATACACATGCTGGATGCTATAATTACATGCTCAGAGCATGCCATACTGAATGTTTCAATCAATGAAACTTGATACTGAAGGATGCCACGTCGTCGTGTGAAATCGTGACCAAGGGAGCCCGACGTGGGTATCGTGCGAAAAACGAATTCTTCAACTATGATGGAGCCACTGAAAATACAGGAACCTCGGCTAATCTTGGAGAGCTAAGTTGAGGGTGCTTTTGTACATCCGGACTCAGTGATGCCGGAAGATGGCAGTATTCAACTCTGCATTCTTCAAATTTGATACATCCCAAGAACTTGGCAAGCGAGCAAAAAGCAAAATTACGGTACCTACACGCATTCCGCCTTTGCTCTCAGGTTGATTGCGCGAGGCCGGAACAAAGTGGAGGCCCGCGCACAATAAATTATAGGTCCCGGCTCCTAGTCACGTGAGCTTTATTAGGGATTATGTAAAATAGTAAAATTACTTAAAATTATTATAATTAGTTAAAAAAAAATATTATTACATAACCTTTTTTTACTACCTAAACTTACAGCGTTAGGGTTATTATAATTAATTAAAAAAAATATTATTATATAATTTTTTTTGCTATTAAGTTTTTATAATATTATTATTTATTATTCCTGGCCTTAATTTTTATATTTAAATATTATATAGCTTATATTTATAAAATTAAATATAATATTAATTACTTACTATATTAAATATAATTATTAATTTTTAATAATATAATTTTAGCATGTTATAAGCCGCAAGCCTGCTAAAACTTATATTAATTATAAAAATTAATAGGTACTTTAGGTTTATATAACTTTATTTATATATTATTATTATTAATATAACTTTAAAAAAGTAAAAAGCGCTTTGCTATAATTATTAATCTTTTTAATTTATTTACTTAATACCCCTCTTTATCAACGTCGGCCACCAACGGCACACCAATACTGCCGTCGGGCACCGCCCTAACACCCTTTTTCTTTATTCAACATAGCTAGCCTTTAATAATAATTAATAATATTATAAATCCATAAATCGCGTACCTATAATAATGGTAGCATGTTTTTAATATAACTAGTTAAGTAAATAACTTAATAACTTAATTAGGCACGCTAATTAAGATTAGGCCAGGAGGCGCTAACCAAGTAATTTTTAATATTTAAAAAGCCTAGTAAATCTCTTTCTTTTAATTTTTTATTATTAATTTTTATTTAATTTACTTTATTATTTACTTATTTATTTAGTTATTTTTTATTAAGATTGACCGAACTCCCAAGCTTTTAAAGATTATTTATATATTAGCCAGCTAGTAATTATTTTTTTTTTTAAAAAATCTTTTTTTTTTTAACTAACTAATAAATTTAGTAAACTTGCTTTCTTAATTCTCTTTTTTTATAACCTTTTTATTTTTTATTTATTTATTAAAAAGGATTATTAAACTCCCGAACTCCTGAAAGGTGTTTATATTTAGTGGTTAATTAATAGCCTTTCTCCTTTTTTTTAAAAAACCTTTTTATTTTATAACCGGCCAACGAACTTAATAATTTATTTTCTTGGTTTTTAATAACTTTTTTTTTAAATCTTAATACTTTAATAAAAACTTGTTGTCTTGGTCTCTTAATATAATATAAAGGGGGTTTAAACTAAATAAAATAATGTTTTAGTAATATTAGCCCATTAGTTAAAGGTCTTTTAACAGGTTAAATAATAGTTCACGAGAAAGTTTAACTAGGGAATAATATTTTTTATTAACTTTATAATACACCATATAGCTATATTATTTTTTATTTAGTATGCTTACCTTCTAGCGTGGGATATTAATAAGTTAATACTTTATTAAGCTATAAAAAACCTACTATTTCTTAGCTAAAGAATAGGAGATACATAAGTTAATAAATAAAAAGCTTAAAAAATTATTTATCCCACATTTTTAAATTTATTTTTATTAAAGTTAAAGTAACCTTTAGGTTATACGCGGGTAAACTTACTAATATATATTAATAATATTATTATTTTAAAACTAACCTCCGGCCCGGAACTAACTAGGCAGGAATAAACCTTTATAATTAATAACTATAATTTAATAGTTATATAATTACTTATAAATAAAGCTAGCTAGCTAACTAACTTTAATACTAGTAAATATTTTATATTAATTTTTGCCTTTACTATAAATATTCCTTTATTTTCCGGGCTATTTATAGGTTTATTTACTTTTTTAGTTATTACTTTTTAGCCTGGCTTATTTACCTTTTAATAAATTACTAGCTTATTTATATTTTTAACTAGACTTACTAGGTAATAGCTAAATACTTTAGTAGCTTATAAATTAGCTAGTTAATAAACTTAATTAATTACTAGCTATTATTTATAATATTATTTAAAATAAGTAATAGCAAAGCTAATTACTAAACCTAGGCATTTTATAAAGCTAATTATAAAACTTAGGCATTCCCTTATTTTACTAATCATAAAAAAAGGGGATAGTACTATTAATATTAATATTAATACTAATGCTAGCCCTTAAATTTATAACATAAATTTATAAATAAATCTAGATTTTTAATAATTTTTTAACCCCGGCCTATAATAGGCAAATTAGTAACCTTTTAACTCTGGCTTATAATAGGTAAATTAGTAACCTTTTAACTCCGGCCTATAACAGGTAAATTAGTAACCTTTTAACCCTAAACCTTTTAAACCTGGTTTTTAATAGGTAAATTAACTGCCTTTTAATCCCGGTTTTTAACAAAATAAAGACTTTAAATTAATTTTATAATAGGAATTAAATAGCTATCTAAAAATTATTAATAATAGGCAAGCTGCCTTTAAAAAATTTTTAAGAAAGGACTTTAAAAATTTTTAAAAAAATAATTAAACTAATAAAACACAGGAATTAAAAAACATATATAAATAAAATCTTAAAAATGTGTATAAAGTTTTAAGCCTAGTTTAATAATTAAAACCCTATTTTAAAAGGCTATATTTACAAGCGCCTTAAAGACAGGATCTGGAACTAAAACCACTAAATCCTTTTTACTAAAACTAGGAAGATATAAAAAGGGGGCGTGAACATAAAAAAGGTAAATTTATTTTACTAGCTAATAAACTAAAACTAGTCCCTTAAAAAAAAAAGCCTTAGCCTGCTAAAGCTATATTAAAAAAATACTATTAAAAAATAAAAAATATTAACTATTTTTAGCCTAATAAAGTTAATAATAGAAATTTATTAATAAAAAAGCGCGGGTTAAAAACCTTTTATAAAAATATATATATTTTTATAGACTATATTCTTAACATGGTAATTTTTAAAAAAGAAGTAGTTATTAAAGTTAATATTTATAATTATTTAAAAGGTGTTACTTTAAAATAATATATTATTAAGCTATTTTAAGTAAATAAATAAGAGCTATAAAATTTCCCCTTAAAATAAAAATAGGTTACTAAGCTTATTAAATAATTTAAGCTTTAACTAGTTAAGGTAATAACTTATTTTTAAAAAATAAGTTATGACTTTATAAACATCCAAGCCAGGAAAACCCCTTATTTATTTATATAAAAATTCCTAAAAAATATAAGATTAATAAATATTAATAATATATTTAATTAATTAACCCTAGTATAAAGTAAATTAAATAGCACGCTATGCTAAAAGATTAATAAACTAATATACTATATAATTATAGTAAATTTCCTAAAAATCCTTAACTTTAAATTTAGTGTTTGGAGAGACATTGTTAAAGCCTAAAATAATAAGTAAAAAAATAAGCTAAAACCTAAAAAACCCTGTTATAGTTTTTATTAAGCTAATTAATATTTTTAAAAAATATAACCCTAGCTATATATATAAGTATACTAGGCGTGACTAAATTATATTTAATTACTTTAATTACTTTAACCTTTGCCTTTACTACTATAAATAATACCTTAGCTACCGGCCTACTAATAAAAATTATAAAATATACTTATTTTTAACCAAGCTACTTAGAAATCTAAACATAAGTATTTAATAAAAAATAAAAATAATAAAAATAAAAATTAAAAAAATTATAATAATTAATACTAGTAGCAAGGACCTAGTAAATAACCTTAAAATTAGTATAAAACTTTTTTTACTTAAGCTATTTCCCCTTTTTTTTAATTATAAGTATACTATATTAATCTGTACTTAAGAGCTTTTTACGCCTAAGTTTTAAACTTTAATTTTTATGCTTTTTATACTAAAACACTACTACTTATAATAATAGCTTACGCTTTTTATACCAAGACCCTAACTTTATTATTTACTTACTATAGTAATTTAATAGCAGTACTTTTTTTATTAATAGCTTATTTTAAAAAGCTATTTAAGGATTAGTACTTAAAAAAATATACTAAAATAAAAAGCTTAAAAAACTTAAAAAACTTAAACTTCTTAAATACTAATAAAA